CACTACATAGTGGTTCACAACTACCCAGAACTCCAGTTCCGGGGGATCTGACATCCTTTCCTGATTTCCATGGGAACCAGACATGTACACGGTACACATACATACAGGCAAAATACCCATATACATAAAATAAAATAAAAATATTTTAAAAAGTAAGAAGAAGACATAAAATTGGGAAGGAGATTTGGGAGGGTCCTGGGAGGAGTTGGAGGAAGTGTGAGGGTTATATAAAATAAAAATATATGCATACATGTATGAAATTCTCAAAGAAAAAATATATATGTGTGTGTATATGTGCTGCGCCCGCACCACAAGCAAGTCCAGGGTATCAGGAAAAGAGAGACCAGACGTACACTTGTTTGTACTAAGAGAATGCATGTGTTGCCTTTATTGCCAGGAGAGTGTGTGTGTGTGTGTCTTCATTGCAAGTGCTAAGAGGTCTCTCCCTTGTAGGAGGGAGGAGCTTTTTATACAGGTTTACAGCACAGTGGAAAAAACCCCAGGTAGAAGAGATTGTTGTTTTCCTCCTGCTGGATGTTGATGTCAGAGGGTCAAGGCCAGGGCAGTAAGCCAGGACTAGAAAACAGAAAGCACTTGGACTGGAAAACAAGTTGCACTTGTAAGCTGACCAGCAACTCACAGAGACCCCATGGGGCTGGGGCCCAACATCTCCCCCCTTCTTTATATATAAATTAGCACCTATCTCAGGTGAATAGGATGTTAATGTCAATCTTAGTATACAAAAACAAACATTTATAAACAATATTTGGGAATGTGGGTGTCGTTCTTTCCAAGCTACTTCCTGCTGTTAAGGGGCGCTGAAATACCATGGGGATCAGGACAAAAAAACAAAAACAAAAAAAACAAACCCAGAACCCTGTTGAAGTTCTTGTTTTTGTGGTCTGTAAGGCTGCATCATCTTAGCTGTTTTAGGTGTTGGATCACCTGGGCCACTGCTTCAGGTGGTCTTGCTTCATCAAACCATACTAGTCTGGAAGGAACCCACAGCTTTTTATGTTCTGTGGAAACAAAGGCAGAAATTCTTTTCCCAAGTAACCTGTCCTTATATTTAAATTTAGAAGTCAAAGCATTTTCAAAACATGCAAGTTGGGTTAATTTAGTAGCATTAATAATCAATTGTCTTTTAGCAGTTTTTGTTCCTTTCTCAGCAATTAAACAATTTAAAGACACCACAACTGTACACAGTATCCAGACTCTCTGTGTATTTTCCATTCTATATACTTTTATCTTTTCCTTTTCTTTTACTTAATACCAGTACCTCCTTTATTAACTGTTACCAATTTTAGTTTACCCACTTTTAATCCATCCTCCAACTGAGGATGATCTCTCAGGTTCCCCTTTCTTTCCTGACCTTGGTGTCAGGCGAAGGCCTGGAGATTTAATCCAATCCACCCCCCAACTGAGGGCGATCTCTCAGGGTCCCCTTACTTTCCTGACCTTGGTGTCAGGCGAAGGCCTGGAGATTTAATCCAATCCACCCTCCAACCTAGGGTGATCTCTCAGGTTCCCCTTTCTTTCCTGACCTTTGTCAGGCGAAGGCCTGGAGATTTAATCCAATCCACCCCCCAACTGAGGGCGATCTCTCAGGGTCCCCTTACTTTCCTGACCTTGGTGTCAGGCGAAGGCCTGGAGATTTAATCCAATCCACCCTCCAACCTAGGGTGATCTCTCAGGTTCCCCTTTCTTTCCTGACCTTTGTCAGGCGAAGGCCTGGAGATTTAATCCAATCCACCCCCCAACTGAGGGCGATCTCTCAGGGTCCCCTTACTTTCCTGACCTTGGTGTCAGGCGAAGGCCTGGAGATTTAATCCAATCCACCCTCCAACCTAGGGTGATCTCTCAGGTTCCCCTTTCTTTCCTGACCTTGGTGTCAGGCGAAGGCCTGGAGATTTAATCCAATCCACCCTCCAACCTAGGGTGATCTCTCAGGGTCCCCTTACTTTCCTGACCTTTGTCAGGCGAAGGCCTGGAGATTTAGTCCAATCCACCCTCCAACCTAGGGTGATCTCTCAGGCAAAGCCTGGAGGTTTGACCATTTAATTTTACTGTTAGAAGTTGAGGTACCTGTTTAATTCTTTTCTTTCTTGAGTTTCTCCTCCCCTGAGTCTTCTTTCTGGCCAATCTTTCCCAGTCTTTCCAAGTCTCTCTGGATCTCAGTGGAACCTCCAATTGCCACGCCAGCGCCACAACCAAGTCCAGGGTATCAGGAAAAGAGAGACCAGACATCCAGCTGTTTGTACTAAGAGAATGCATGTGCTGCCTTTATTGCCAGGAGAGTGTGTGTGTGTGTGTCTTCATTGCAAGTGCTAAGAGGTCTCTCCCTTGTAGGAGGGAGGAGCTTTTTATACAGGTTTACAGCACAGTGGAAAAAACCCCAGGTAGAAGAGATCGTTGTTTTCCTCCTGCTGGATGTTGATGTCAGAGGGTCAAGGCCAGGGCAGTAAGCCAGGACTAGAAAACAGAAAGCACTTGGACTGGAAAACAAGTTGCACTTGTAAGCTGACCAGCAACTCACAGAGACCCCATGGGGCTGGGGCCCAACATATATGCATGCACATACATACACTATCTAACATAATACTTTCCTGAAGTGCTTGGATTTGGGGTATAATTTTTCTTTTTTTAAGATTTATTTATTTATAATGCATATAGTGTTCTGCCTGCATGTTGCCTGTGTGCCAGAAGAGAGCACCAGATCTTATTATTGATGGTTGTGAGCTACTATGTGGTTACTGGGAATTTGATTCATGGCCTCTGGAAGAACAGCCAGTGTTCTGAGCCATCTCTCCAGCCTCATAACTTTTTCTTTTATAACGTGTAACTTACAGAAAACCTGAGGGAAAAGCTGAGGGACATCCTCTACGCCCCTGACCAAACCCATCAGTTCTTTACATTTTGGCTTACTTGCTTTGTTGGTCTATGAATGTATTTGTATGTGTGTAAAGTACATTCTTGCCTCTTTATTCCTAACCCAGTGTGTTTCCAAAGACCAGTTTTCACATGTCCTCAATACAGTTATCCAGATCAGGAAGTTCAAATCTGTTGTGATATGCTAATCCACATTCATATTCAAATTCCAACAATTATTGTAGTAACACTCCCTCCAGTATTTCTTGTTTCTTGTATCATGCATTGCTACTATTTTTCTGCTTGTTTGTGTGTGTATAGTGTATGCACGTGCGTGCATGCGTGTGTCTTTCATTCAAAGAACCAAGAAGTCAACTGTCCTTTCATACATCTGAGTCATCTGACACTTTGCTTGATGAGGGAAGGAGGTTTAGCACCCTCTTGCCTTTGTAGTGCTTGACTCTCAAGTTTCACTTTCCAGAAGGTTCTTGGAGTCAACTGTGAGTGCAGTTGGAACCACTTCTGAGTGTGTGTTCATATTAACTTACCACTCCTTGCAACACTGAGAATGTACTGCTGTATGCCTTTAGAGATGGGATCTGGTTGGACCACTGGCTACATTAAGCAGAGATCCTGGAGCCAAGAATCTGCCCTCTCTTTCCAGGGTCAATGGACACCTTACTCAGGAGGAGCCTTTGCTTTACCTGGCTGTCTTGCCTTTTGAACAGGTGCAGTTGCCTGGAAGGCTTCAAGCAGCAACTGGGCAAATCCCTGCTGTCCACACTCTTTGCAATTACATGAGGCCTTCTGGCAGGGTGCTCAACTTTAGTACAGTGTGGCCCTCTGGTGGAGACATCTTTGCATCGGGGGAAAGGATGAGAGCAAGTGTCACACAGACCAGTGAGTTTAAAGGTCAGTTTACTTTCCCTGGTTTAGGGGTTGGAGGTCTGGGATCAAGGCATCTCTCTCTGGCTTCTTCTCCAATCTTCACTTTATCGTCTCTCTGTATGTCTGTGCTCTAATCTCTTCCCATAAGGACATCAGCCATGTAAAGGCACACCCTATTGGCATCAGTTTTTCTCAACTGCCTTTTTAAAGGTCCCGTTTCCAAGTGAAATCACATTCTTAGAGGGTTAAGCTTGTTGGTGTGTGAGTGAGCCAGGGGCGGCACAATTTAGCCCATAGCAAGCAACGGAGGAAATGTGAGAGATTCTTTAGATCAAGTCAATCATTAAAAAAACAAAAAAGGGCTAATAAACATTTTAACAGTGTTCACTGTCATTAGACATTAGAAAAATACAGATTAAAACTGCTTTAAGGGCTGGAGAGATGGCTCAGTGGTGAAGAGCACTGCTGTTCTTCCAGAGGTCCGGAGTTCAATTCCCAGCAACTACACTGTGGCTTACAACCATCTATAATGAGATTTATGCCTTTTTCTGGAGTTCAGGCATGCATGTAGATAGAACACTGTATATATAGTAAATTAAAAAAAACCCCGACTTTGAGATGCCACCCCATTTCAGGCATAATGGTATTTAAATTACATTCTAAAGAACACCACTCCTTTCTGTTTTGTTAATAGGATATTCTTATCTGGGGTTTCCGGATGCATTCTCATGATTACACCCAGGCATACCTGAGTTGTCCAAGCCAGAATGCAAGCACAAAAGAGGGTGCTTCCTGTAACTGCTCTGGGATAGAGAATGAGAATGCGCACAAGACAAGTATGGTGACCTGGTACCTATAAGTGTTTATTTCCATTTTTCCCACTGCTCATACTTCAACCAGGTTGGATAAATCACTTACTAAAGAATTTAACCTGTGTCTTTTTCATTCTCATAGCATTCATTTTCTACCCTCACCCACAAACTAGTGTCTTTTAGTTCTATTTGGTGAAACTGTTCTATGGCCTGTGTAAATTATCTCCTAACATGTCTCTAGCACCAACTAATCCATTCATTCATGATTTCTTCATCACATACAGGGGCCCTGACTGGTGGCTCAGAAGCATGCAGTCGTGGGTTGTTAATGTAGGACCAGTTCTTGTTCCTTCTGTTAACTGAGTAGTACACTTGGACTTAAATGGGGCCATGTAATTTGCTTTGGCCAGTTCAATGGTACTGTCTGGAAATGTTCAAAGCCAGTTTATGCTGTCTTTGTTTCTCTAAGATGAACAGCAGGACTCAAAAACAGTAGCCACTTCAATAGCCTGGGTGTCAGAGTGAATAAGCACACAGAGCAAAGGTTATAGCTAACCTCATGTGAGGAGCCGCCCTCGCTATCGCTATTGCCGTTAGAAGATGGCGCTGACATCTGCTGTCAGTTGGAGTTAACCGTTTAAGCTGTGCCTCTCCCGTGGCGTCATCTGGGGTGATGTGCAAACCACCAATCCCGGCTCTACACGTCTCACTCGGAGCTCCTAGGCTTATATAAGGGGCTGGGTTTCTTAGCTTGGGGTCTCCCTCTAAGAAGCTGATCATCTATCTCTCAAGATGCATTAAAGCTTTACTGCAGAAGGATCCGAGTGTTCTGCGTCGTTCTTGCTGGCGAGACGGTAGCGCGGGACAAACCTCAGATAGATGTGTGTCATGAGTAGTAAACAAACCTTTGTTGTGTAAGCCCCAAACACTGGGTTATTGTTGTCACAGCATAAAACAGCCCACAGGAGTTGATTCTCTATTGTTCTACTTTGCATTCTGTTGTTGTGGTAAAACATTCTGACTAAAAGCAAGTTGGGAGGAAGGTTAAGTCCATCCTAGGTCTTGTATCTTGACAGGAGGGACTTTCCTTGCTCAGTTATTAACTGAGTAGATGCACACACCACCATGACTATCAGTAGATAGTTTAAAAAATACTTGTTGCACTGTATTAAATGGGAACAATGCTTTCTCTTTTGTTATACTTTTGGGGTATATGTATCTTCAATGGAATTATTCTGTGGGGTAGATGGAACTGGTATTGATTCTTTAGTGTAATGGGGTAATACACCCCAATCCCCGGCATAGTCTGAGCCACCCTCATTCATTTGTATGTGTGCAAGCCTTCTGTGTGTGCATGTATGGAGAGTTCAACTCCCGGTGTCTTCCTTTCACTGCACACCTTATTTTTTGAGATAGACTCTCTCACTGCACCTGCAGGTCACTGGCTTAGTAAGCTGGCTAGCCGGAGAGGCCTCTAGATCTGCATGTTTGTCTCCCCATCGCCAGCACTGGGTAACATACACTTATAACACCATATTCTACTTTTACATGGGGGGAAGAAAGTCAGGCACTCATTCCAGGCAGAGAGCTCTTTATTTACCGAGTCATCTCTCCAGACCCCCATGTAACTCCGGACTTTGGCTGGCTGTGGTCCTGTAATTTGACTGAACAACAGGATGTGGGTGGACATGCTGCAAAGGAAGCCGGGATGAGCCTATTTGGCAGAGATTCTGACATTGCTAATTCAGAAGGACAAGAGGTGTCTGGAGAGAGCTTTCTCAGCTCATCAGAAGACTTACAGCTAGAAGAAGCATTCAGCTGAGCTGGGAAGCCAGTGACACTTAGTTTGGGTAGTTTGCTCTGTAGCAGTGACTGATTAACACATGGTGCCAAAGGCCATGGGTGATTTACAGTTCTCATTACAAGTGGGTTTTGCTCCCTGAGAAGCTGGAAATCAATTCACTATGCTACCAGAAGTGTGTGGGACACCTACAAAACTACTCACACACACCCTCCTCCAGTTGACCATGAAAATGCAAATGTCTTAGTGGGGAGGGAGGGAGAGAGGGGGAAGGGAAGGAAGAAGGGAGGAGGAAGGAGGGAGAGAGAGATTGACTAACCATAGCATCACACATACAGATCTTACATTGCTTTGTTCCAGACTGAATCCTTGTTATACAGCCTTCTTGAAGTGATAATAAACTCAACAAAGACCTAAGTGATCTTTATCTTTAATAACTGATTTTAATATGTAGCAAATTATGTGCAATCCACATGGTTGGTAATATACGGTATTGCTAATCCTTATTTTTAGAAGACAGTCCTTTTGATAATGATTTTTAAAAAATTGTGTGTGATATGCGTGCACTGTTACAAAAGTAAGCATGAGTGCGGTTGGGGTATATGCTGTGGCCAGAGGTGGACATTAGGTGTCTTCCTTTACAACCCTCTGCTTACTATCTTGAGACAGAGTCTCTCACAACACTGGATGTTTGCTGTTTCTCCATCAGCCAGTCTCCCTCTCCAATGCTGGAGGTATAGGCATGCTCAGCCACGCCCAGCTTTTCATGCGTGCTGAGGATTTGAACTCAGGTTCTCATGATTGTACAGCAGGTGCTCTTGTCCAATGAGTTATTTCCCCAGCCTTTGATAATGAGTTTTAAGTATATTCAGGGATTATTATTTTCAACATCACTTTTTATTCAGAAATTTTCAAAACCTAGCTATCAAATTGTGTGAATGAATATGTTTTAAAGCTTGTTATCAAGTGCAACTGCTATTTCCATAATAAAAGTTAAAATGAAGCATAAAGAGAATATTTGACAGTTGGATAGTTTATTAAATCCTCAGACTGTAGGATTTCTGTTAAGCTCAACACACCTAGTATTAACTCCTTGGTGAAAGAACAAGGCTCAGTATCACCAGTCTTGTTCCCCACGTACTTGCTGTAGATTCCTCACAAACACACACATCAAAGTATTAGTAAGAAGTTACTAGAAACACATCTCAACACTTACATGATAGACTATTTTATCTTCATGCACAGTTAGGAACCTTACCGGAGACAGCAACATGTTATAATTACAATGGCTTAAATAGCCCGAAAACAACAAACAAAACCAGTGTTAATTAAGTGTCATAAGGAAAGCTGCAAGGGACAGGAGAAAGTGCCAGGTACTGCTACAGGACTCATTAGACTTTAGCAAGCTGGCCTTAGGCCACCTACATCGTGCCCAGGGAACCAGTCAAAAGAGCATCATGCACCTCTTGTCCCCCAGACCCTCCATCCAGTCACACAGTCACAGGCCTTCACAATGGCAGAACAAAGCGGTCCTTGCCAGATGCCCCTTCCACCCAGGATCTGTATGGGCGGCTAATCCCGCGCACAAAGCAGCCGTGGTTCCCCATTGTTGGGCACCCGCTGGGAGAGCTCTGGAACGTCCCAGCGCGCCTGGCCCGGGGCTTATTTAGCGGGCGCCGACCAGGCCGCGGGCTCCCGGGAACCATGTACCGGCGCAGCTATGTTTTCCAGGCCCGCCAGGAGCGCTACGAGCGCGCCCAGCCCGCGGGCCCCGCCGCCCAGTCCGGGGGAACGGCACCCGGCCTGGCGGCACTGCAGGCTCTGGGCGAGCGCGTGGCCGCTCAGGTCCAGCGGGCCCGTGCGCTCCAGCAGCGCCATGCCGGTCTGCGGCGACAGCTCGACGCCTTCCAGCGCCTGGGAGAGCAGCCGGGGCCCGAGGACGCCCTCGCCCGCCACGTCGAGGCCAATCTGCAGCGCGTCAGGGACCTGGCGGCCGAGCGTGCTCGGCTGGAGAGGCAGGAGGCCGAGGCGCAAAGAGCACTCGACGAGTTCCGGAGCAAGTAAGAGGCACTGTCAGGGAAACTGAGGCCAGGCATTAGGGTGGGGAGGTGAGGGACATGTGCAGACAGTCCTGTGAAGAGGATGCACAGGTCCTGGAGATACCCAACTTACAATTTGATGGCACCTCTGGTTCCCAGGACATAGTTTTATTTACTTTTAGTGTGTTTTGGGATGTAGGTGTAATACGCAATGAACCGCACAGATTTTAATTGCATAGTTCGAGCTTTCAGTGCTTAAAGACAACACCCAAATAAGTAAGGTGGTTTGCATCACCCTAGAGGTGCTGTCTCCGAGTTCCTAGCGAGCCCCATTTGGATTTTAATGTCAGCAGACATTATTTCTGTCAGTTCTAGGATTTCAGACTGTGCACTTTCACATGAACGATTTCTTTGACTCCATAATTTGTTTTCAATCTAATTTTTGTTCCGGTATACATTATACATTAGCTGTATTCCTTCCAGGAACCTTCTGCCTTCCCTTTCTCATCTCTCCCTCTTCTCCCCTAGACAGTTTCATACCTTTCATTTCATATATATGTGTGTATGATTTTATGTGACTATAAAATCTAGGAACCACAAATGAGGGAAAACATATTTGCCTTCTAAAACTTACTGGCTTAAAATATGATCATCTCCAGTTGTAGTTGCATTCATTTTCCTGCAAACAGCATAACTTTCTTTTTTTATAGTTGAAAAATTCCCACACAGGCACACACACACACAGGCACACACACACAAGCACACACACACAGGCACACACACACACACAGGCACACACACACAGGCACACACACAAACACACACACAGGCACACACACAGGCACACACACACAAGCACACACACACAGGCACACACACACACAGGCACACACACACAGGCACACACACAGGCACATACACACAGGCACACACACAAACACACACACAGGCACACACACACAGGCACACACAGGCACACACATACACAGGCACACACACAGGCACACACATACACAGGCACACACACAGGCACACACATACACAGGCACACACATACACAGGCACACACACAGGCACACACACAGGCACACACACAGACACACACACACAGAGGCACACACACACAGGCACACACACACAGACACACACACAGACACACACACAGGCACACACATACACAGGCACACACACAGGCACACACACAGGCACACACACACAGGCACACACACACAGGCACACACACACACACACACACCCCTTTCATCTGCCTTTATCACATTGTCTTCGTCCATTCCTCTGTTGTTGGACACCTATGTTGGTTTCATAACTTAGTCTTCATGTCTAGAGATTTGGTAGTCATTGGTGCAGTAGAACTGTTTTTGATATGTCTCCATGTGATGTAAGCCTCACAGCCAGATCCTCACTGGATCCTTTTACTGAGAGACCAAGGCTCAGAATGTGAAGGGATCGGGGGCAAGATCAGTGAATGGCATGGAAGTCAAACCCACAAGTGCAAAGTCTGTCTTCATGGTGTTGTGGGTGACATCTGGGAATTACCTTTGAATGTGTAATCTCTAGGGTCTGGATACTCACGGTGTGGTCCATGGCCTAGCTGCAGGTTCTGTAGCCGCCTCAGCAACAGGGGAAAGTTGCTGGAGTGTAGCCTCTTGGGCCCAGGGGCCCTCACAACTCCTAAATCAGAGTCAGTGTTTTAACAGAGCTCTTCATTGATAATAGTTTAAGAAGTTTTAGAGGGCTTGGTCTAGGGAATGATGTTTCCTCCCCTACAGATGGAATTATGTATTAACACCACCTAGCAGTTGTTAAGAAGAAAGAATGACTTATTACCTTTCTAAGTTAGAGAAAGAGGTAGTCAGTAGGCCACTCCAAGGAGTTTCTCCAGGATATGCTATGCTCTGGCAGGTATGAAATGACATGCCTGCACAGCTACTTGCTGCAGCTGCGTCGTCACCAGAGAAAGCCTGAAATCAACCAGGATGCCCATCAGTTGGAGGCAGGATATAAAGCTGAGCTTCACCTAGTCAGTGGAATATTATGCAGGGGTAAAGGAGTAGTGTATTATTTTCATTAAAATTTTTAAACTGGGGAAGAATAGAGAGGTGGGTTTTATTTTTCATGCATAAGTAACAAAAGCCCCCTCCCATACCGATTGCTTGTGGGGGACAAGAAAAAATAGGGCAAATGGAGACTCGTTTTGATTGAAAATAGATGTTTTCATGCACTGTATTTTGGTTATGGTTCCCTTCCCCCAATTCCTCCCAGATTCTCTCTACTTTCCCACCCTCTCAAACCTACCCTTTCTTTCTCCTTCTCATTAGAAAATAAACAGGCGTCTACAAATAATAAAATAAAGTGAGATTAATAAACCAAGTGAACAAGACAAGCAAACAAATGGGGACAATGTCAAAGAAAAAGCATAGGAAGCCCACACATTTGTATACACAGAAAACCCAAAAAACAAATTAGGAAACCATTATACATAAGCAAAAGATCTGTAAAGGTGCCCTCCATACACACACACAAACCCAACCCAGACAAAGCATTATGAGACTAAAAACCTCCAAAAATACCATTGAGTTGGTTTTGTGTTGGCTACCTGCTGGACTTGGGGCCTGTCCTTAGGTGTGGTTTGTGTATACCTGGTGAAACTCTGTTGGAGGAAACCGATTTTCAGGAGGGAGACTTTTACTGAAATAACTTTAAAATACATATTAAAATTTAAGCCTGAGTTCTCATCAGAACTAATAATCCATTATATAATTAGTTATTATCTGGCTAATTAAAAGGCTAATTATCCATCAGAAAATGATATGAATTCCTGGCTGTACTGGCTCATATCTACATTCCTAGTATTGGAGAAGCTGAGGCAGGAGGATTGCCATTAGTTCAAGGCCAGCCTGGGCTACACAGTGAGTTCTAGACTAGTTTGCCCTACAGAGTAAGAACTGGTTTTTTGTTTTTTTGAGACAGGGTTTCTCTGTATTGTTTTGGAGCCTGTACTGGAAAGAACTTTTTTTTAACCTTAAAAATAAATAATAAAATTTATATAAATTAAGTTAAAATGCATATGCCCAGGTTCTACACTGGATTTCAGAGATGCCAAGAATCTTCTTTTTTGACTCAGGGTCTCACTATGTAGTTCTGGCTGGTCTGGAACTCTATGTAGAGCAAACTGGCCTTGGCACACAGGGCTCTTCCTGCCTCTGTCTCCATTCTGGGATTAAAAGTGTTTGCCACGACACTCAGTAAGATCTTTCATTTTTTATGGGCTCCGTTGGTCACTCTAGCACCAGCTGGGTTCTGGAGCCTTTGTCGTAAGGTAGGTAGAAGGTTTTCCCCTAAAATGGTCTTTGAATTATTTTGTAACCTGATTTGAACGTATCTATCAAAGCCTATCCATTGATTTATTTCCCATCAATCTTTCTTTTCCTGAGTTTGTGCCATAGAAACCAGTTAAAAAGAAGAGATCTAGCTGAACCTCTGTCTCTCATGGAGAAATAAGCCTTGCAGGAGCTTATGGTAGCAGGGCTTGAACAGAGGTTTCTTGTCCTGGCTCTACACTCTGCCCAAAGCAGAGTCTTGGGAAACCCATTATTGGATTCCTGTAGAGTGTGGCTCAGAGATAGGCTTTCCTTTCCTTTCCTTCAGCTGAAGCTAGTGTCCCAACAAGCACAGGGAAGCACAGAGCTGCATGCTAGCCTTGGATTTGGTATTGTAGCTAGGGATGACCATGAGTTTTTGATCCTCTTGTCTGGTGCTGGGAACACAGATGCCTTCTACCACTTCCAATTTGATTTGGTGTTGGTGATCAAATGCAGGCCTTTGTGCATTCTGGGCTATACCCCTAGATTCCCCTTCTGGATTTTGTAGACCAGGAATGCCACACTAAACTGCTTACTCCATTTGAGTGGGCAAAGTGCACACAATATAAAGATACCATCATAATCGTTTGACATATACTGCTAGCTAGTATTAAATAATTCATGTGTTGTGAAGCTCAGATACCCAAGGCAACCCGATGGACTGACAGAATGCCCTGGGTCCCCAGATGGCTGTCATCTGACCAGCCTATAACAGCTCAGGTTTGAGGGGAGCCAACAGACTTGGCAGACTATCACTCAACTTGACTTTTTTGTCTGAGGTAGTAAAACTTAATTCTCTGGGGCTGGAAAGAGGCGGGGGGAGCTAAAACTTAACCCCCTGTCCAGTGAAAAAGGGAAACACACACACACACACACACACACACACACACACACACACACACACACCTTCAACATGTCAGGATCTCACCTAGGGTGTTGATGAATGGCAAGGATCAATCACTTTATTACTTACCTCAAAAGATAATCTTACAAGGAAGCTTAAAAGAACCACAACTCTAAACTCATATACGAGAAAGAACCAGTCAGCTCTATTTCAAATCCTCAGGGTGCATACCCATTTATCAGCAAATTTTTATATCAGGAAACTGAGGGCAGAAATGGGTACAAGGAATTAATAATCATCTTTGATCGGTAACCCATTCTAACAAGAAAGGCACATCGACCAATAATAATTGGGCTGGTTTGTTCTTGTTCTCTGACCTTAATGAGTCCCTCACTCAATTATGTGCCTTTCTAAATTTTAGATTGTTTCCCAAGGCTTTTTACCTCAAAGTTATTAACAAAAACATCTTTTATTTATTTATTTATTTATTTATTTGTTTTTTGTTTTGTTTTTTTGAGACAGGGTTTCTCTGTAGGTTTGGAGACTGTCCTGGAACTCTCTTTGAAGACCAGAGATCCGCCAACATCTTAATCTAATATTAAGGCTTTGTTTTAGCTATGATGCATGCTGAAACCTGTGAACACATCTCTCAACATTAAGATTTAAAGAACTTGAGCTAACTTAGCTTCTGGGACTCAATTGTTTTTCTTAATCATTAACCTAAGCCACAGTCTATACAGCTCCTCAAGAGAAACTAGCTGTGTCACATTTCCTTATTCTATTTTTCTATCCTCTGTAGCCCCTGTTTTATCAGGGGTAGGGGGACAACACCATATCTTCTTCTTACCTATGTTAGTTTTCCCACTAAGCTAACCTCTATCATAATCCCTTACTATATTTATTAAAGATCCTCAATTATCTAAATCCTATTTTAACTAACACTTATTGTATAAAATCATTGCTTCAGTCAAACGGTACAGCTTAGGAGAAAATCATCTTCATAATAATCCACAGGTAAAAATGTAGAAGAGGATATTTCCATGAGATAACCACACCATATTAAAGGCAGTGAGGATCTCTCTATATTCATTCCCACCGTGCCAGGCACCAGAGAAAAATGTCAGTGGCAAACATGTAAAGACACAGCAGTGCCAAGAGACATGCTGGGGCTGAGGCTCTCGGGGTCTTGTCTATCTGAGATTCACCTGTAGGAGTTTTGCTTCCCAGTGGGCCGACTTCCTGAACTTTAAACTGCCACCGGCTCCTCTGATACAGCCACCGACAGACTTGGATGAGCAGGACTTCCGTGAGACCTCACAGGGAACACCTACATTGAGTTTTCCTGGTCTTCTGAATTCATCTGGTTCCAAGTTGTATGGCCACCATGGAGCGGTTCTTCATACTCTGAAGTTGATTTAGATATCTCATTGACTGAGTCACTACCATTGCCCCGTGGAGAAGTTTTAATATTTTGCCTTAGATAGTGGGATTGGAAAATCATTATAAAAAACTAAACACACACACACACACACACACACACATGTACACTCACTTGCACCCCAAATATGTTTTTGCATTCTCAAGGTGAACTGGCGAGTAGCCAAAGCCAGGTTAGAGTCTTGTAGGAAGTGGAAAGCAGGAGCCTCAGGACCCACAACATGTTAGATCCAATGTTCACCTGAAAAATGGGTAATTTCACACTCGTATTTCCAGTGCATCAAAGACTAAATAAAACAACAAACAACAAGAATCATGAAAACAAGGAAAAGCACCAGAATACAATGATAAATATAGTCAATTATCCAAATTGCTGGAAACAAAACAATAATTTATATAAACAATTTCATAATGTAAAACAAAGTATGATTTTACTTTTTGAACTCACAGATAATTAATTTTGTATAATGAAATAGCTTATCTTTAATATATCTAGATGATCCTTCTAGCTTGAAAATTACCCACTAGACTGTTGCTGTGCTCATTATCAAACATGTTGTTAAGCTGCAGAACCTCTTAGATGTTTCCACCAGGAGAAAATTAGATTTTTGTTAATAGTGTTATTCTCAAAGATAATAACCCATTTAAAAAACAAGTTCTGGCTCCATTAGAACCACACAAAGAGAAAGGACTGCCCATGACCTCTTGGCGTGAAATGTAAAACTAGTTCAGATATGCTTGAGGAAAAACAAGCTGCTCAGCTCATTTGGAACTGGAATGCAGGTTGGATTGGGTTTGGTTGTCCTTCTGGCCCTTTTAATTCTGAGGACACAGAGGATACACATAGCACATGGCTGTAAGTACTTGACTTTGACCCATGGGCCAAGATGTACACGCTACAGAAAGTTGTGCTTTCTGGGTTGGACTCAGCGTTAATTAGAATTAGTTTCCGTGGTGAGTGACAGGAGCTCCAAAGTGACACTGGTCTACTTCATATCCATTAGGGTGGCTAAGGACAGAGGACAAGTGTTTGCAAAGGGCTGCACTGGTCTCACTGATAGGAAGGTGGAGTGGTGCAGCCACTATAGAGAACACTCTCCAAAAGCCAAATGCAGCGTTGCGGTGTGATACAGCATCGCTGCTTCTCAGAATCCACTCAAAATACTTAAAGTGGTAGTGGCGCACGCCTTTAATCCCAGCACTTGTGAGGCAGAGGCAGGAGGATCTCCGTGATTTACAAAGTGAGTTCCAATACAGCCAGGATGACACAGAGAGACCCCGTCTCAAACAAACAAACAAACAAACAAAGGGTTTACCTTCTTAAAGAAAAGGGCATGGTATTATCTGAGATTGAACTTTACACTGGTAGTGTGATCTATAACTGTGGAAGTCTAGAAGCTGCCTAATTCTTCTTGCCTGTGTGTCCGATTTGCAGATATGAAAATGAGTGTGAGTGTCAATTGGTGCTAAAAGAAATGCTGGAACGACTTAACAAGGTGAGTAGAGCCCAGCCTCAGATTTAAGTAGCTTCCTTACAGCACTGAACTATATGGTAGCAGCAATTGTTTCCCATAGCCTCTCCCCATTATTCCAGGACCACCACCAGCACAGGGGTGCTCACACCAATCATTAGTCAAGAAAATGCTCTACAGACTTACCTACATGCAATCTGGTGGGGGCAATTTCTCAACTGACATTCCTTCTTCCTAGGTGACTCTAACTTGTATCAAGTTGACAAAACAAACAAGGCAGATTTCGTGTCTTATTAGCAAGCATAATAAGGCTTTAAGCATGGGGGTATGGCCCTGGATAGTATAAGAAAGCAGGCTGAGCAAGCCATGAGGAGCAAACCAGTAACCGGTATCCCTGCAAGACCTCTACACCAGTTCTGGCCTCCAAGTTCCTGCTTTTAGTTCTCGCCCTGCCTTTATTCAGTGACAGAGAGTGGCCTGAGAGCTGTAAGCAGAAATAAATCCTTTCCTCCCCAAGTTGCTTTTGGTCATGGTGTTATCACAGCAATAGAAACCCTAATTTAGACAAAGTTCTTCCCTCCTGACTGGCAGCCACTTCAGACAGTAGAGGTTTCTAAGGGTATTTGCCACTTCCTAGTTTTGTCTAACCTCTGTTGTCAAAGTGGTAATAAAGCTGAAACTAAAAATTTGGGAAGCCTAGTTTTGTTTTATCAACATTACCTGTATCTGGTGTCCATTCTCTGTGTGAGCAGCTCATGTGTTGTTCAAACAGTGACCCTAGGACAGGGGTGCCGTTAGTGGGCAGGTCAGCAGTTAGCATTTCAGGCTAAAGAGAGAACTTGTGAGCATGCTAGACATAACAGAAAGATTGTGGTAAAGATAAGAGCTACGAGGACGAGGACACAGGCTCTAGGAAGGGAGTGTGGGGTGGGGAGTGATGGCTCCAAGCTTGTAGTTGAGCTGGAGTTTCTTTTATGAGCACCCAATAGCACCCAGGTGTTCTGCCCATACTTTTAAGTCATCCCAGTTTTGGCTGTGGTTACAGTTCAAAGTTGCAAGAGGAGGGCCCACTGTCTTCTTCACAGGCCAAGGCTTTCAAAGACACAGATACCTAGCACCCTTCACCTAGGTGGCAGTTTAGACTCTAGAATTTCCCTCTTGGCTCCACCACAGTGACACCCTCCTCTTTACCCTTGATGGAAATTGACAGTGACTTTTCAACTCTCTTGTCATTTCATTCTTATTACAAAAGTAATTAATATTCTCAGCAGAAAAATAAGACAATATAGACACTGAACCCTGAGGAAAAGGTACCTCATCATTTCCCCACCCAGAGAAAACAGCCACATGGCCTTCATGTATTTTGTGACATCGAGTGTGGGTGTTTGAACTGTCAGCCCCACAAGACTAACCTTCATGATATCGCCACCAAGAGTGTAGGTGAGGGCTAGCACAGGGAATTGATGTGGTTGTCCCCTGGGCCAGGGTAAGACTCTCTTGCCCACAAGTGAGCTGCGCTGTCTAAAAGAGGAGGGTGGTCTGTTACCACATTGTTGAGTATCTGTGATACTGGGGGTGAACTCATTTACCTTTCTGAGCTTCAACTTCCTTTTTTTTCAGTCAGGTTTTCTCTGTGTAGCTTTGGAGCCTCTCCTGGAACTAGTTCTTGTAGACCAGGTTGGTCTTGAACTCACAGAGAGATCTGCCTGCCTCTGCCTCCCCAGTGCTGGGATTAAAGGCGTGCACCACCATTGCCTGGCAAGCTTCAACTTCTTTATGTGAGGGAATAATTATAGCCCACTATAGTGTCTCCATGCCTACTGAGCATGAAATGACTTAGCAGTATACAGACTCATCTGTCAAATGGCAGTGCGTAGTCTTTGTAGTGATGGCAGAACATTTGATACGACAGATACCAGTTTAGTTTCCCCCTAACTAGGAAGCGCATAACCTGATGGAATCAGAGAGGACTTCAGCTGGTTCATGGAGGAGTAAATTTTTCATAGTTGTGAATAATATATATTTCTAGATTTATTTTATTTTATGTACATGGGTGTTTTGCTCTCATGTGTGTCTATGCACCCTATATGTGGCCTGGTATTTGCAGAGGTTAGAAGAGGGAGTTGGTTTTCCCTAGACCTGGAGTTATCAATGGTTATGAGTTGCCTTGAACCCAGGTCCTCTGTAAGAGCAACAAATGTCCTTAACTGCTGAGCTCTCTCTTTCCAGCTCCAGTTATAAATTCTTTTTTAAAAAAGTTTTGTTTATGTGTATATGTGTGCGACTGTGTGAGAATATGCCGAGTGTTGCCTTTGGAGGTCAGAAGAGAGCATCAGGTCCCCATGGAGATAGAGTGGCAGATGGATGTGAGTCACAAGACATGGGTGCTGGGGATGAAGTGGGGTCCTCTGGAAGAGTAGCAGGTGCTCTCAACTGCTTAACCATCACTCCAGCTTCCTCAGTCATGAATTATTATTTATAGCATATTACATAAAAAGTTCATTTCAAAAAAACCTAAGGAAAAAATAAATCAATGTAAAGAAAACCCAGAGCGAAATGTAATAGTTCTTGGGTTTAGTGTAGCTGTGTAATCAATGGATTGGGAAAGTCCTTGAATCAGCTTGTGGGAGCCACAGATCAGCCTCTGGTTACTGATGGGGTCGATTTCACTCCTAGAAAGGAAGCAGCCCAGGGCCTTCTTTCTCCAGTGAAGGAACTCACCCATGAGCATAGGTAGCTTCAGACCTCTTCATCCCATGCATGGCGGGCTTAGACTGGAGTGTTTGTATTCATAGCTCACTCTCTAGTTCCTAAGGGAAATCAGAGAAACTGAGTCCTTCTGAAGCCAGACCCAAAGTCAAGTGCTGTAGGTTAAAAGATGCCTCTAGGTCTATAAAGTGAATCCTTATCCTGGGCCACTCCACCTGTTACCAGATATGCAGGGTACATAGGTTTCCTGCACCACTTGCTGTGGGAATGTGACTCACTCATCCCAGAAGCACTGGGCGTGCACACCCCAGGAAATGAATCATAGTCATCCAAGATCAGCAGTGAATGGGAAGTTCCCCAGTTATTCCCCCTCAGTATAGAGAGTTCCACAAGTCTCCAGGATTTCCAGCAGGATCATGCCTTGTTGTTCACAATGGTGATCTATCTGCCTGTCTACACTTATGGACTTTGCCCCCAACTCTATATCCCATTGCTCTCTGTCTGTGGACACCATCTGATGAGAAAGAGGAGACTGGATGAGTGGAACCTCATCCTATTGATAGTCAGAGAAGTGATTAAGTTTTTTTCTTTACATTTATTATTTATTTATTTAGTGTGTGTATCTGTGTGTGTCCGTGTGTGTGTGTGTTCGTGTGTGTGTGTGTATGTCCGTGTGTGTTCACGTGTGTGTGTGTCCGTGTGTGTGTGTGTGTGTGTGTGTGTGTGTGTGTGTGTGTGTGTGTATTCACTTGTACCATTGCTTGTGGTCAGAGGACAACTTGCCGGGGTGGGTTCTCTCCTTCTGCCACGTGGGTCCTGGGGAATGAACACGTGTCATCAGCCTTGGAAGTAAGTATCTTAACCTGCTCAGCCATCTTGTCAGCCTTGGATCAGAGATTTTGCTTAGGGAGTCTGGAGATATTTGCTTAGTCAGGTCAGCTTTTGCCTTTCCGCTTCGTCTCAGAGCCAATTCCTACAGTGTCACTTCAGGAGGGATTCACCCTTGGGTGTGGCTGTGGGAAGACACTGATTCAGTCTTTGGTGCTTTGTTCACACTCCTGTCATATAGTCACGTTGCTCATGTAATTAAACACCCAGAACAGAACATTTTTGGTTCTCAACAGCATATATGCCAAAGCAAACCAATCTTTGTCACCTCCTTTGAAGGGAAATAAAACCCTCGACATAATACCTAAATGCCATGGCCAGAGTTAGTCACATGCTCAGCCTTTTGATGGAGCAAGAACCACAGATGGTTTTAAAATAGATATTCAAGCTTGTACAACCTCTATAACTCATTGCCACATAATGTACCTAGAAGATTGCTGGCTACCAATAAATCCCGAGTTTGCTCATAGGTTGTGCTGTCTCAACTGAGATGGCTTTAAAGCCTTACTCTCACCTTTCTTTAAAATTAACGACAATTTTGACTGATGTAGTTTCTAGGTACATGTGTTTACTTAAAATAATGAAAAGCATTCAAAGGTTGACTTTTGTGCATGCAGTTCATGTCCCTCTGTAGGTCCCTGTGGGAAAGATCAGGAGGCCCTGGGGTCTGGGACAGAAAAGATGGAAAACAAAGCGGCCACCTTCAGGGTTACCAGCTTCTACATGTTCAAGAATTCCTCGTTCCAGAGAAGAGAGGAGGGGCCTGGGAAGGAGGCATTTGAGAGGAGGCTGGAGTGTGGAGAGGCTTGAAGGAAAGGAACACAAAGGAAGAATGCTGAGAGTGCAGAGAGAGAGAGAGAGAGAGAGAGAGAGAGAGAGAGAGAGAGAGAGAGAGAGAGAGAGAGAGAGAGAGAAAGTTTTGTTTTGTTATATATTCAGGGTTGAAGGAAAAGTGTTTTTACGTTGAAGCCTTACTTGCCAGTGATTTTAAAGAACTCAGATCTCCATTCTTTAGCAGCTGTGTTTTGATGGAAGCCTAGGATTCCTTTGAAAAAGCTGTCAAGGATGATTGTCAAGGGCACCTTGAACTTTAATTATCTATCTGGTTCCTTTCTCAAAAATAGCTGTAAAGTTTTGGATGTAGCTGAGCAGTAAAGTTCTTTCATGGTGTGTGCAAAATCCTGGCTTCCATCCCCAGCACAAATATCCTGGACCATGTGGACTGGTGGTTCTGGAACTTCTCTGTGTGCCCTCAGCCCCTGGAAAGGGTGTTGGAACCCTCGAGAGATCATTTGTGTTTCTAGCCAGCTCTCAGGTACTATGATCTGTTTTGTGAACCATCTACTCTGTTGTGAACTCACACAAAATCAGGGTTGGATTACTTTCTCAAATTAGACAGTTGACACAGGCAGCTGGTTCTGAAAAACCTAGATGCTTCTGTTGCTGCAGCGTTTGGAAATTCAGCTGACAGCATCTCAGGCATAATGAAAACACAAGCGTCTACACATTTCTGCACTCTGGCACAGATAAAAGAACATGCTTCCAAAACAAATTCTCATCATATCAGCAACTGCACAGTCCCAAAGCGCCGACTCACCTCTGGGATTGTCGGGCAGTTTATTACATGGTTGTTTTCCAAGCAAGACATGTGCTTACAGAAGCACCTGATTAACTCCTATTTTAAAGACAAGTATTGTATTTTTTATCATCACCACAGGGGGCTTTGAAATATTGCTTCATGGATGCTAGTGCTGGTCCTGGCTCGGTTCCCAGGGGGAGATGTGGGAAGATGATAGGTGTCTGGTAGAATGGGCTTTCCACTTGGCATCCCAGAAGAGCCCAGGGCAGGTCCAGTCCTGTTAGTTTCTGTTAACCGTGGAGGAACCCACTGATCAGCCTGGTCTAAGTGCTCTCACAAAGGAAGACTTTAGGCTTTGAACTGCACTTGCTAGAGCCCTAAGTTCCATGGATTTGGTTGAAGAACCATTAAGGAACTGGAGCTGCTGGACAGACGGGCTGTCTGTGGCTTTTTATGATCTGCAGGAAGATGATCCTATGTGCTTAGCATGTATAAGGTCCATCTCCATCCTCATCCTAAGGGGGGAAAACAAACAAACTTCTTTGCTTTGATCTTACACAGTGGTTTCTGTGGTATACTTTACCTGAAGGAAGGCACCAGTGGCTTTAAAAATGTGAGCAGACCAATGCTCTCCAAGGTCTCATCCATCTATAAGATGCCAAGTGTTTGATCTCTCTTAGTAATAACACAAAGGACAAGGGGTGCTTGGAATCCCTTTTCTAATTCTTCCTCAGCTCCAGTAATTATGGATCAAATATAGGTTAATTTTTGGAAAGAGTGAACATCAATAAGTCTCGTCCATTCTATCCTTACTGGCTGAAAAGGGACAGAGGGAAGGGAGAAAACATCCAAGAAATTGGCTATGTGTCTTTGTATGACACTCCTTCACCTCTGTGAGGGGATAATCCCAGCTCCAGGGTGGTGAGTCATTGCACATCAAACTGATGTTCTTTTTTTTTTTTTTTTGGTTTTATGAGACAGGGTTTCTCTGTATTGTTTTGGAGGCTGTCGGTCTAGCCCGGCCTCAAACTCACAGATAGCCGCCTGCCTCTGCCTCCTGAGTGCTGGGATTAAAGGCGTGCACCACCACCGCCCGGCTTCAAACTGCTATTCTTGAAGGAGGTGGGGGTACAACCAGAGTATTAATTCCTGCACAGCCCCCAGTCACCCACAGAGGCATGAGAGGTCTCCCTGAAGATCCAGATCTCTAGCATTCTAGATGTAAATTCAGCCCTGGCTGGATCCCATTATAGATTCAGAATTTCTATATCTTGGCTGTCAGCATCAGACAATCGGGACTCATCCTACATCTGTGGTCTTTTATAAGAACAGTTAGAGAATCAGGTGACATTCCAGAGAATACCTGCCAAGGGCTTTGCTGGACCACAGGTCAAAGTGGGGGGAGTGTCTCAACAAATCCTGGCATCCACTTAGCTTGGCTAACTTAACTGTCTCACTGGAGAGTAGTGTTTCTTAAATAGTTTGACTAAACCAATATTCACCTTTATTAATGAGACACCATTACTAGCATTCATCATGAAAAGCTGTTAAGAGGCCAGTAAAAAAAAAACATTTGGCAACGTCTCAGATATTAGCAGGTGTGCCTGGGGAGAGTTGTCTTGTGGGGGTGGGGATTTCCAATAAATCTGTAATGTCACACTGAACACATTGAAGCACTTAAGCCAATTCCAGATGCCAGCACAATTTTTAAGAAGCTATTATTGTTTTATTATTATTTTAGAGTGTGTGTATGTGTGTGTGTGTGTGTGTGTGTGTGTGTGTGTGTGTGTGTGTGTGTGTAGGTCAGAGGACAACTTTGTGGAGTCAGTTCTCTCCTTCCACCTTTACGTAGATTTAGCTTGAAGCTCAAGTTACTGATGGCAAGAAACAGAACAAATATAGATATTCTGTAAATCTGTTATTTGGTATGTGAATGTATTTAAACACTTGGCTTTTTCTAAATAAGGTTCCTCAAGCCTGGCACTGTGGACCTTTAGGCTATCATATTCTTTGTTGTGTGAGTGTGGTGGGGAGTGAGGGACTTTTTGTTATGGTAGGATATTTATAGCTGTCTTCTGGCCTCTACCATTCAAGTACTGACCATAATAAGTATCTCTGGATGTTGTTAAATGCCCCCTTGGATGCAAAATCGCCCTGTATCGAGAACTGTTGTTCTCGACCAGGTCCAATGACTAGCTTAGTGTTTTATTCAGAATGCAGCATCTAGGACTCAGTGGGGAAAAACACTTGCTGTATATAACTGCTGAGCTGAGTAAGATCCCAGGAACCCATGATGGAACTCCCGAAAGTTGTCTTCTGACTTCCACACACATTCAAGATGGTGCATGTGCACACACCTCAACCCCGCCTCCCCAAACACACACACATAGGCCAGGGGAAGAGAGAGAATATGCAGTGTTCTAGACCCACAGAACAAGACTCTGTGTTTTGGTAAGTTCCCGTGGAGTTCCTGTGTTCGCACACTGGTTCACAGCACACCTGAGTGCTCCTGATCCTGAAATGGCTCTTTTTGTTGCAGGAAGCTGATGAAGCCTTACTGCGTAACCTGCACCTTCAGTTGGAAGCACAGTTTCTGCAGGCGGATATCAGTGTGGCCAAGGACAGATACAAAAAGGTAACCAGCACATGTGGGAAGCCCTTACTTCTAGAAGACCCAGTTTGGGTTCGGTTGGACAGGAGATTGCTAGAGTTGGCAACCTGTGATTACATTCCCCTGAACTGGCATGTGCTGGCCACTGGGCAGCAATTACCCAGCCTGAGGTGTACAGAGAGCATCCGTGGACAATGTCAAGATATCCAGGGGATTGTAATGCTGGGTTTTAGTGTCTGCGCTGCACATTGTAATCTACAAAATTATTTAGATGGCTCTATTTCTGCCAAGCAGTCAACTGTGTTATCTCAGAAAAATGCAAAAAGGGAGATTTTGTTTTTTAAGGTATTGTGCTACAGCCCTTAGCACTGCCTTAGGGGCAGCCAGCTTTATTTAGGAGCCCCCTATTTCAGAGTGTCCTGATCTTTTCCCTTCCCTATCAGACTCACACAGGTCTGAGGCCAGGGACCTTGGCATACTGGAAAATAAAATCCCTGCACTGTGTAATTGTGAGTGAGCAGCCTGGCCTTCTAGGCTGCTTGCTATATTCAAGATTCGAGTGGCATCCCAGTGCCGCTGTGTGGGTTAACAATGGGTTAGTGGAGAGGTAATGCCGACTCTCCCTGGCCTCTTGTCTCTTTCTGACTGTCCATATTGTAATCTGAACCTTAGGTCTGTTGTGTTGTGACTTAACAGGAGAAACCTGGAGACAGGAAGGGGTTATTTACTGATGAGGCCAGAACTCATGGTTTCCTACGATCTTCCTTGTTATTTTGTAGAAAAGAGGAAACAAAACCCAGGAAATGAACCTGTGTAGATTTAGCTGCAAGTTGCTGTGGCAATGAGGACCCTTTTCCTAGGGTGAATGGGGAATTTAATTGGCCTTAAGACCCCTGTGTGTTCTCAGCCTAGGCTGAAATTTCTTGGAGACACTTTCCTTCTGTGGGGTTCATTGTTTTAGGGTCTTTGTTTCACTGATATGGTATCTGCACCTCTTTGCCAAGTACCTTATTGTAGAAGTTGGAAGCTGCTCTGTCTCATAGAAAATGTGGGGGGACTTCTATACCCCTGGAGCAGTCTCCTCCAGTGGCTGATGGGAGATGTAAGGAAACTCCCTGGGCTCCACTTGTCTGGGTAGCAGGATTTGGATGAGATTCTCAGCAGCACAAGCTCTGTGCTCACAGGAATGCAATAGGTGGCACACCCTGCTTGTCCAGTGTCTGTCCCCTGTGACTTCCCTGTCCCGTTAGCCACATCACCCTGTATCATTGCCTAGTTCAGCTGTCCACACCCAGATCTTTGTCTGGGGAACACTTCTAGGGCCCAGCAAACCTGGTGTTGCCCTCACCCCTGCTTGTGTGTGCTTTGGACTCTGAAGGTTTCTCTCTCTTTCTGGCATCCTTCCAACCTCTCACCAGGCCCATGCCTGATTCCTCCTCCACACATTGTAGCTTCCTTGTATTTAGCTTCCTTGTATTTATCCTGAGAGCAATGCCTGGGGGCAGTCTCAAAACAGCCCAAAGCACTCTGAAGGCATTTAGAACAATGATTACGAGGGTGAGAAGCTTCCATTCTGTTGGACCCCAGCCTGGTTTGGAGGGACTCAGGTCAGCCCCTGCGGGGCAGAGCCTGAGATGGTGACCCATGTACAACAATTTTATTAGTGGAAGGCTAGGCAGATAGAGTGAGAGGGGGAGCATTGGTCTCATCTGGAGGCCAGAGGTTGGTCTTTTTCACTTATTGGCTGGGGCCTATGGAGCTTTCTGGGCAAGGCTGTTTTCTGTAGAGGGGCTGTGTTATCTGTCATTGCTCGTAGCTGGGAAAGGTGCATTGGCTGGTAAGGTTCACCAGGCCTCCCTACAGATAGTTAGTCCTGTTTCATAAAAGGATGCCCATTCTAGGAGACTTCAAAAGCTTGCCCGAGAACACACACATTTGGTAAGTCATTTAGCCTCAGCATGGCTGGCTAAAGCTGCCCCTCAGTGCAACACCACCCTGTGCTGTCAGGATCCTCTGTAGCTTCCAGTCCTTTCTTGTTTCCTTTCCTCTCATGCACTCGCCATTCAGGGCTCCGCGAAGCCAGGGGCCATGCGTGAAGGTAACTGAAGGGAAATGGCAAAAGAAACCAAGCCTCAGTTTACTCTTCTGCCCTGTTCTCCTGAAGATGTGGGACGCCCACTCCAAGGTGTCCTCCCTGGCAGCTGCAGCCGATCCTTTTGTGGTCACAGCTGTGGGAGAGAACACGCGAAGGCACCCATCCCTGGGCTTGCTTAGGATGGGAGGGAAGGATTTAGGCAGCTCAACTAGTAATGAAATATCCTTTCCCTCTGCAACAGAATCTTCTGGAAATCCAGACCTACATCAGCATCCTGCAGCAGATCATTCAGACTGCTCCTCAAGTGACCCTGGTTACTGGTGGGATGAGGGAGGTAAGAATTGGAGCCATGGCTCCAGTCCCTGGGGAGGCCATACTCACATTCTTGTGGACTGAGTAGACCTTCTCAGAGGTTCAGGAGCAAGCACTGGGTCAGACTGTTAGAACCACAGTAAGTTAACCCCTACTTCTGAGTGATGTTCAGGTTTGAGGTTTATTCTTACATTGTTGGTTGCAACTGTAAATGCTAATAGAGTTGAGAGGACATAAACTATATTCCTTAACATTACCTTAGGTATTTTCTCTTAGGGAGCATGTTCTGTTCTCTCTTGCATACTTTATAAGTGACTGCTGAGCTGGTATTCAAAATGGTTTGTTGTATTAGTTTCTTTTCTATTGCCAATGACACAATAATAGCCTGAGCAAGCTAGAAAGAAAAGAGGATTGCTTTGACTTATGATTCTGGAGATGTGGGGTAAAGGGGCTTTTGTCTAGTCACAGTGTTTTTGCTGGCAGTGTCCAGAGGTAGTGCAGAGCACCACAAGGCAACAAGTCCTGTGTGTGTGTGTGTGTCCTTTGATTTCTTGCTTCTCATAAAACTAGCAAGATACATCAAGGGAACTGAACCCTGATGACCTTATCCAACCCTAATTACTTTCTAATGGCCCCTCCATTGTCTTGACTAAGCTCCCCTCTTTTTGTTTTGAGACAGTCTTGCTCTATAATCCCAGCTGGTCTGGAACTTTTCCTGCCTTGGCCTCCTGAGTGTTGGGATTATACCATCTTCTCAATGCTCACAAATGGTATTAAAATCCAGTATGATTGCTCAGAGGGCACAAGCCATATTTCTGTTGTAGCAGGCCAGTGTTGCACTCCATCTACTTGTGAATGAGCTCCTGTTTCGCATTCCTGTCAGTGCTAGCTATCTCAACCATTGCTTTGGTCCTTGTTTTATTTCTCTGCTAGGTATGCAGTGCATCTGGTTGTGCATCCTCCAGCGAGTAATGATGTTAAGCATCATTGTATGTGTTAATTTACTATTCATGATGTTCTTAGTATCTGTCCACCTCTTTTGCCTGTTCCCAAAGTAGGGTTGTGCAAAAGCCTGTTTGTGTGGCTATGAAATGTCACAGGCTGAATAATTTATAAGTACAGAAATTAGTTTCTCACAGTCTGGAGTCTGGGAAATCCCAAGTTCAAAGCTCTGGCTTCTGGTTAGGGGCTATCTTGGGCTACTTTGGTGGCAGGTGCAACGGGAAAAAGAGACAAGTTCCTAGTCCTTGTTGTCAGAAGAAGAGAAGTGGGAGAAGCCACTCCTACAAGCTTGTTCGCATAGGTTCGAGTCCATTCCTGAGGACAGAAAACCTACTCATAGGCCCTAGCTCTGAACTCTGCTCTGTGGGAGATTCATCTGGGGGACATACAAACAGTAGGAGGCTGTTTGTTTTCTTATTCTCTTTAGCAGTTTGGTCATAAAATTGAAACTTCAGGACATTTAATTAATATATTTGCAAGGGTCAGCTCTGTTCATGACTGTGTGAGCCTATGGCATGTTTGAGAGATGTGAAATCCTGTTCCCAGTTTGAAACGCCCATTTCCTTTTTTAGTTAGTTCTCTAGTTGTTTGGCAGGAGAGTGGGCATTTTTGTACATGTAAACAAAGACAAAGGGATGCAAATTAAAATGAAAATGTGGGCTGGATATGCAGCTTAGTGGTTGAGGGTGTGCTTGGAATGGTCAAGGCCTAGGTTTGGCCCTTGTCACCAAATATAATGAAAGAAATAAAATGCTACCATGTCCTTTCCCTGGTGGTTAGGGTAGGCTGGCCAAAGTTTGGTAGACTGATTGGTTGGATTCCAATAGTGATTTTTGTTGCTTGTTTTGTTTTTTAAGGATGACCTAGGACAGTGATTCTCAGCCATGGTACCTTTGCAGTTTCCTAGAAGTGTGCTCAAGCCATGCCCCAAACCAGTGACTGGACTCCTTAGAGCAGAACTGTGTTTGGGGTATGCAGAGGGCAGACAGACTGTAGAACCAGAGTAATAGGCTTGCTGTATGCTTTAAGTGTTTTCATTTTAACTTAATAAAACGAAAACAAACCTAAAACCTCAAGGCTGAAAGATCACCACCCCCAGTGCACTCATGAACTTATAGCATCCCTCATTACCTGCATAGGATCTGCACAAGACTATGCTGATCAACATAGTCATGGGCAGGGTGGAGTCTAACCTTTCCCTAAGAGATATTGACTGTTGATGGCAGTGGAGGAGGATACTTATTGTCATCAGGGTGGTGTCCACCTATGCACTGGAAAGGGAGATTTAGAATGTATCCTGTTCTTTGTGAATCTTAGCTCAAGAGTTCTGCACATTGGTTAGTTAGATAGACACTGGCTGGTTAGTTAGGTAGACACTGGCTAGTTAGGTGGTCACTAGTTAGTTAGGTAGATACTGACTAGTTAGGTAGACACTTGCAGGTTTGTTTCATTGACTGTTATTTTTTTCTGGAAATTTGTAGAAGTCACACTTGCACAAATGAACATTATTAGGGTTTGAACATGATATGTCTCTTACAGACTCATGTGTTTGAATACTTGTTCCTTAGTTGGTGGCTTTCTTTTGGGAGCTGTGGTAGTTTGAATGTAATTGACCCCCCATAATCTCATAGGGAGTGACACTATTAGGAGGAATGGCCTTGTTGAAGTAGGTGTGGCCTTACTGGAGGAAGTGTGTCATTGTGGGGGCAGGCTTTGAGGTCTCCTATGCTCAAGCTACTCCCAGTGAGACAGACCACTTCCTATTGCCTGCAAGATGTAGGAATCTCAGCTACTTCTCCAATACTATGTCTTCCTGTACACTGCCATGTCCCACTACAATGATAATGAACTGAACCTCTGAATTGTAAGCTACCTCATTTAAATGCTTTCCTTTATAAGAGTTGTGTGCTCATGGTGTCTCTTCACAGCAATGGGAACCCTAACTAAGACAGGAGTTTATGAAATCTTTAGGAGGTAGAGCCTAGCTCAGGGAAGTGGACCAGGCCTTAAGGGGTTCAGTCTGTAGTTAGTGGACGCTCTTACTGTGAGCCTGTGGCAGTACATCATGGAAGGAACAGAAGGAGAGAGAGAAAGGGCCCTGGGACCCAGTATCTCCTTCAAGGCTATAACACTCGCCACCTAACTTTTTCCCACTGGGGCTCCCTTCTAAAGGTTTCACCACTCTCCATGGCGCCTTAGGTTGGTGATCAAGCCTTCCACACACAAACTTTTGATGTCCACACCATAGCCCTTCGTGAGGTGTCTGTGAGCAGGGGCTGCCTTCTGTAGACCCCACTTTGAGTTGAAGGCCTTTGAGACTCATTAAGAGGAGAGGCAAGTCAGGACAGGTTGTGGACACGTTGGAAGGGTTCCTTCTGGATTTCTGGATCATCCACAGCCAGTGTAGCAGCCTCATCAGGGTGTTTGACTTCCCTTTCACCTTTTGGGGCCAGACGTCTCCTGCCCGGTACTGTGGCATAGCTCATGGCTCAGAGCACAAAATGATTTTCATCTTCATAGGCATGTAACCCAGAGCCAAATGAGCATCTGCATTCCACCGTTTTCTTTCCACAAAAGGGAAAACGGTGGCTTTGAGAGTCAAATGTCTGTCTGGCTAGCCAGTGTGTCGCACAAAGAGGCCTGTACTTGTGTCTCCTGATCTTTGTTGTCTGGGCTTCACTCTTGAGTAGTTAATGGTTCAGACAGTGGCCACCGTAGGCCTGTTTGAGTCAGCTTGGACTGTTGTCACAGGACCCTTTAGTTTATTGCTCAAAGTTCTGGAGGCTGGGACTCCAAGATCAAGTTACCAGCAGAGTTGGCACCTGTTGCTGGCTCTCCCTTGGTGCGTGCCCACATGGTGGTGGGTGGGAGGGTGAACCTCCTGTTAACTCTTCCTTTTCTCATAAGTTCTAGCTCCTAATGGAGCTCCGAGTCCATGACCTCATCTGACCCCAAACACCTTCTAAAGGCTCCCACTCGCCAGTGTCTTGGCAAATCAGGAGGCATTGGCACGTGCACTTGGGGAATAAGAGAAGGGGACTACCCTTTCCATCGCCCCTTTCCTCTTGGTATTTCTCCTTTGTATGAATCTGAGTCTGGTCTCCTCATGCAGGAGAAGCTGCTGACAGAACGGGAAGTGACTGCCCTGCAGAGCCAGCTGGAGGAGGGCAAGGAGACACTCACCCACCTGCAGGCACAGAAGGCTGAGCTGCAGACCCAGGTATGTTCCACATTGCTATCAGGGGCTTCTACACCTTTTATTGAAATGAACATGCGGGCATAGGTATCCATTTCTGTGATTGTCACAGACGCAACACACCTGTGTGACCTGCACTGTGTGACCAGGTGACCAAATGCCTTGCTTTGCCCTGGGCTGAGGCTTCCCAGCATGTGTATTTTAGCACTTAGCAAAGAAGAGTCCTGGGGAAATGGAGATAGGAACATATGGTCACCCAGACTCATGGTATTCTCCTCTGTCTCCATCGCATCATACCTTTCCCTACCAAGGGCAACAACCCACACTGACTCAAGTCTGGGCATTCCTGTTTCTCCTCTCCCGATGCTCTCTCCTTTGGAATTGGTGATGATGGTCCAAGCGAACGCTCTCATGGTGGTAGGTGGGTGGGCTGTTCCAGTGTTTGCCTCTCATTAGATGTCTGCTAACAGGAGGCTCACGTGTCTGTTTCTTTCACGGCTCATAGCCTTGATTCCCTCACGGTTTCTTGTTTCCTTGCAGATGGGCACAGCGGAGGGAAATGTCGGCTTCAAATGCTGCACTTCCTACAGCTGGGTAACCACAGCCCCAAACCAATCAATTGGCATTTAGTAGGCAAGGACACCCAAGGAACAAGAGAGTACGATCTAAAATTCTGACTATAAAGCCTGTGATGTCTAGATTGACACATCACATGGGCCCTGCCTTCCTGCCCGTTGCATCAGGAAATCTTAAAACTTTTCCTGGATTCACATTTTACCTCAATCTCTGACATCCTATTTTCTATGCCCACTGGGCCCCTCACAAAGTTCTCACTGTGCAGCATTCTGAGGGGCCACTGGAAAGCAGTCAGGGACAGTGGTTGTCCCTAGCTGAAGGACACAGGGGAGAAACTGAGTCATGACCTTCAAATGCATTCTTCTTAGGACATAACCACAGACAGGGACTAGATACTTTTTGGTGACTGTGATTTCCTCTGAGAACCTGAAAAGAGAGAGAAGGGGGGAGGGGAGAAGGGAAAGACAAATAAATGCTTATGTAGAAAATGTGTGGTGTGTGGTGGTGTGTGTGTGTGTGTGTGAGATGTATATATCGTATGTGTTGTGTATGTGGTATATGTGTATATAAGGTCTGTGTGTAATGTATGAGTATGTGTGATGTTAATGTATTTGCTGTGTAAGTGTGTAGAGTATAGTGTAAAGTGTGTGTGATATGTATATTACAAGTACATGTAATGTGAAGGGTGTGTGTGGTATGTTTATGTGGCATGGTGTTTGAAGTCTGTACATATGTGTATGTGAGATGTGTGTTATCAGGCATACCTGTGGCATGTGCGTGTGACTTTTATATGAAGTGTGTGATATATCTATTTAGGGCATGTGTACATGTATGTGGGATGTGTGTATTGTATGTGTGCTTTACATGTGACTGAGGAAGTGAGTATAGGCTCAGTCATGGTTCTGGAAACTGTGGTTTTCAAACTGTTAATTGCTACTCATTGGGTATAAAATGAATTCAGTAGAATTGACTTGTATAAAAAAAGAAGACAGCAACAACATGGAACTCAGAATAAGAAGGAACAGAACGTATGGGAGTTAAACATGGAAAGTTTACTTTGGGAGACCTTTGTCTTAAATATATGTGTATATACTTGACTACATGTGCATTTGCTCAAATACACACATAGGATGTGTCTTACAGTGTGAAATATGTCACTTTCCATGGCCAGGGTGGCAAAGTTGAAAACCACAGCCCTAGGTACTAACAATATGATGGAAAATTCTAGTTCTTGGGGCAAAAAGAATGTTCTTCTTTCTTTGTGTACACGTATGTTTTTGTTGACTATTAAAAATGTGATATGTATATGGAGTGTGTGATGTATCTATGTAGGGTATGTGTGTACGCATGTGGAATGTATGTATTGTGCGTATGTGGTATGTGTGACTCAGGTGCATGTCATGGTCCTGGAAACCCCGTTGTTTTCAAACTGTTAGTTATAGTTCACTGGGTGTGAAATAACGGGATTAGACTGGTTCCTGGAACAGGAGGTAGAACTTTCTGGTCATGGCTGTTTTCACCTTCTCCCATTCCTGAGACTTACAAGTTTATCTGTGTCTAAGGCTCTCACATTTCGGCCTAGGTCCTCCTCCTCCCCCTAGATTTTGATAGTCTGTCGAGGCTTGTGGACCCCTGCTCAGAAAATGTTGTTAAAGGCAACAATATATATTAATTGTTAAAAGCAAGCCAATTTTATAAAGATTGTTGTCAAAAAATAACCAAATGACTTCATGTGTTTACACCTGTCCTTGACTTGAGGGGTCATGTTTTGATGAGTCCATGGCAAGTTGAAATAGCCTGAGGTTTCATGTGGCCCAACTATCTATTGCGCATCCTGACCTATCAGCACAGTACCCTAGACACTGTCTGGTGTGTCCTCTCACAGCTGACTCAGCTGTGGCTTGCTGCCACCACTCTGCTCTGCAAGGCGGCAAAGTGCAAAACAAGAATTATGAACTCCACAGAGGCACAGCTGTGGAGTAAAGGGGGCCAACATCAGCCTGAGACTGTCTGCAAGTGCTTCTCAGTCGCTTGTTAGTATCTGAGGGGACTGGTCTTCACATCCCCACAGATGCTGAAATTCACGCATGCGCAAGTCTCTGAAGTGTTTTGTATATAACCTAAGCAATTCTCCCACATAGCTTTAGCTCAACTCTAGAAACTTGCAACACCCAATATAGTATGAATGCCATATAAGTAGTTTTTATCTTTTATTATTTAGAGAATAATGACAAAATGGCTGTATATATTCAGCAGAGACACAATTGAAAATATTTTCAATCTCCAATCGGTCAGGTTCATGGATGTGAACTCCTCGGATACAAGGGAGTTCAGGGGCAAAATACAGCTGTGGGTCTAATGAAACCCAGGTTTGCTGCCTTCACAAGGTTGCCACAACCCAGGTGCTTGAAGTGGCTCTTGCATGTGTTCTCACTGTAAGTCAGACAGAGGGGTGAGCATGCGTGGGCTCTCTGTTCTGGATCTCCCAGGAAGAAGTAAAGGAGCGGATGCACCTGGGGCGAGCTGGAGGACCTTGTGGGAGAGCTTGCTTCCAGTGTCATTCATCAGTCATGTTGGTGGTGGCGTCACTTCTGCCAGTCTGTAGTAGGGAGGACCCCGTTCCCTTGCTGGCTTTGCCCATAGAGACTACATTCCTTGGCCCAAGGCCGTACCATCTTCAAAGCCAGCAGCTTTGCATACAATCCTCCATTGTCTAACTCCCTGGCTTCAACTTCACTTACCTGGCTCCTGCCTCTTGTATGGGCTTATGTGGTTAGGATTAATTTAAATGCCTTACTTTTAAAGAAAGACTAATTATGAATCTTAACATGTATAAAGTCTGTTGCCAAGTAGTATATTCATGGTTTAACATTAGGGGACAAAGTTCACAGAGACCATGATCTTGGCTAATTAGCTCTAATTGAAAACAATAGTTTCTCATAGTCACTGGGTGTAATAATAGACACCGGGTGGGTGTGTATCATGAATTTGCAGGTTTCCAGGTGATGCTGATGGTTCTGCTTCTGGAACCATGTTTTGAGAACTACAGGTGTAAATATGGGCCACTGGAGGTGTCAGGGGTGTGGTGGGTGTTGGGGGGTGGTTTGGGGTACATCAGGGTTCCCTGACTGATCTGGTGAGTTCCAGGCTTGCTCCCTCTACAATGTCATTCAAAATGGTCGTCTTTGGAGTTTTGCTGGAAAGAGCCTTTGTGCTTCCACATAAGTAGCTGACTTCTAAGGGAGATTTGGCCGTAGCCTTTTCAGCCAAGCCAAGGCTAGGACTAGGGACAGGGCATTTGGCAGGGCTGCTGCAGAAGGTTTTATCTCTGGTTACAGTTTTGATGCTTTCAGAATATTCCACGGTTAGGGTCTTCAGGCTAAGGTCCCTTCCTGGTCCAGCAGCATCAGCATCATCTGGGAATTTGTCAGAAATGCAACTCCCGTGTACATCCAGAACAGCTGTAGCCTGTTTTAATCCCAGTTTTAACAAGTACTCCAGTCCATCCCACAGGCATTTGAGAGATTCTAGATGCAGCATAAAAGATCAGAGCCCGAGATTGGAGCTGGGGGCCCCTCCTTCAAGATGCCCAAGTTCCCTGGAGATGTCACTTCTTCAAGGTGGAGGAGGAATGACAAGTAATTCCATGTCTGGAGAGGACCAGAAAACAGTTTATTGATTGCCCATGCTGCATACACCCAGGCCTCTGTTTTTTATTAAGGTTCTCATCACCATCTAGTGGTGAGATTTGGAAGCCAGCAGCTCAATCAGTGAGGAACACGTTTCTCCTCTTCCCTTAAACAAGACAAAACAAAGCAAAGCAAAACAAAACACCATATTTATCTGCTTACTGTGCATGAATGTGTGTGTGTGTTTGTGTGTGTATGTGTGGAGTTCAAAGGACAACTCTCAGAAGTTGATTCTCTTTCTTTTATCATGTGGGTCTTGGGGCTTAAACTCAGGCTGTCAGGCTTGGTAAAAAGCACCATTACCCACAAAGCCATCTTACTGGCTGTATTATTAATACGATTGCTTTACATAAATTAACCAATTTATTGTTAGATGTTTCAAGTAGTAATGCTTCTTTTGGTCTTTTAGTTCCTTCTGTCCTCTGGTGGCTGACTGGATTGTGACAGCAGATGTGGTGTTGTAGGTCCAGGCCCTGCCAGCCATTGTTTTCCCCCAGTGCAGATGCCTGTGGCCCATCCCTTCATCGTGGTTTTGTCACAGAAGGAACAAGTGTACTGATTGCAATTTTCTTCACCGTTTTCTAGAGGGAGGCACCATAGCTGGTCCCTTGTTTACCAACAGTTGTGACCTTCTTGGTGCATTACGTCATGCCATTGTGATCTAAGGCTGACCTGGGAGAGTCTCTTCCCCCTTATAAGTAAAGGTCTTATACCCGAGGACATCATTGTACTCAGAGGGCTGGGGTTGCAGTTTGCTGCACAGATGGGGCATGTTCAACTCCTGCATGGGCAGAAGCTTTAGTGTGACTCATGCCCTCTACCTGCCTCTCTCTCCTGGGCCTCAGATGGAGCCTCCAGGGAATCCTGACCACTCTTCTTTTCTTTGGACTCCTCCCGTGGCACCTGCTTTTTTAGGAATACTTTTTTTTTGGAACTCTGTTTCCTTTTTCAGTGCCAGGGACAGGTGTTTGAGGTGCAGCCGGTCATTGGATCACCTGCAGAATTCCGTCTCCTCTGATAGCCTGGTTAGTGATGACTGGCTCCCAGAACACTGCAGAGAGAGATGTACATGCTAAGCAGTGCCCCTTAGCCACAGCCAAGCTTGTGAAAGTGAAGCGGGCTCTTTTAAAATATTCTTTATTCCGATGCATAGTGTCTGTTACTGAGTCATAAAGTCACACTGGTATAGACAGGAGCCTAGATTCATAAACAGATGCCACATCCTTGGACACCAGGGAAGCTGGATGTGGGAGTCAGAAGAATCCCGTGGAGTAGTAGCCACCTGTTAAGGCTGGAAGGTGGCTTAGACACGTGGCACAGACATGATGCCACCTGAGGACATAGCCTCTAAAGCATGCATACTTCTTCAAATGAACAACCAACCAGCAACTGTCTGCCACCAGGACAAAAATAACAAGCCATCAAATCACAGATTATAGAGAGAGGTCAGACTTGTTCTGTGGGGTAGGAGACTCTGGAGGTCTTTCCAAATCTCTAACTTCATTCTCATGATAACCCTTTGCTATTGGGCTTACAGTTTAAAAATTTTCTCAATGAAAACACTCAAGGAAATCTCTGCATGTGGTCACATTGAGTCCCATGTGTATTCTGTGAAGAGAGCTGGTGTGTCTGACTAGTTTGTAGGGAAGTTCTTATCTCAGTAATGGACCAGCTCACCCAGCTCCTTACAGCCTCATCAAGGAAGAGCTGCTTGTATTCCCTTGCTACTGAGTCATACCCGTGAAGTGGCAATGTACCAGGGTCCTGGAGTGGACACACATACTCTCTCTCTCTCTCTCTCTCTCTCTCTCTCTCTCTCTCTCTCTCTCTCTCTCTCTCTCTCTCTCTCTCTCTCTCCCCCCCGTGTGTGTGTGTGTGTGTGTGTGTGTGTGTGTGTACCTGCTGCCCATTGCTCACCTGTAGCCAGGTGGATGATGGGATAGGAAGGCCACAGTTTCAGGAATGTCTCTCAGTCTATACAGTTGGATTTGCCTCATGCTGTAGTGTTGATGGGAAAGCCACTTCACTGGTATGACTCAGTAACAAGGGAATATAAGCAGCTCTTCCTTGACAAGGCTGTAAGAAACTTGGTGAGCTGATCCATTACTAAGATAAGAACTTCTCTACAAACCAGGGCTCCCACTCTAGACAGGGAAGCCATACCCAAAGAGGACCTCATTTTTTCTTCTGTCCTTGATTGAGGAGCATTCCAACACGTGAAAAAGATGAACAAGCATGCTCTCAAGCTTTGTGTCTCTGTCCCCTGACACATGGCCACACACATCCCCTTGATGTCACCAAGAAGCAGCTCTAAGATTCAAGCCCCAGAAGGGTCTTAAAACCCCCTGTCTCTGGTGTATGTGATCTCAGTGTATGGGTGAGGGCGAGGGCTGCCCTGCAGGTGGCAGGTGTGACTTGGCACTTGACATTCAGGTGACGGTTGGATGGAGATTGATATTGGAGGAGTAGAAACCTGTGACAACTGGCCTAAACAGGAAGTTGTAGTTTGAAATAAACTTAGATTTCTACAAGGTTAAAATTTCTACCTTGTTCTGTAATCCTGTCTCAGCCTCCTCCAGTGTTTTGTAACCACAGAGGACAATGAGGAAATCCAGCAAATTCACAGGGATGCCATACTTCCAGACTGCTGACAGTACCTGTGCTGAGGCCCTCCCTGTGCCCCCTGAGCTCCTGCTGTGAGGGACAGTGTCTTAGGGTGTATGCCTTGCTGACTGTGACGATTTGGAGAGTTCTGGGGACCAGACCCCCTTCCCGCATTTGGGTTTCCTGGATGTATTGTCAGGATCTGATTGAAGGTCCTTGTTTTGGGGGAGAGCCCGTGAGAAGTTCCATTTCTGTGGATGGTGCTGACTTTGATGATTTGGTTCAAGTGATTCATGCTGCGTTCTCCACTGGAAGGTCTCCCCAACCCCCAAATGGACTGGTTATAACAGGAAGATTATGACATTTGAGAGCTGGTGCACAGCAGGGACCAGGAACCAGTATCCAAGGCACCGGCTCACTGTCTCCCTCCTTCCTCTTCCTTCTCTTGGCACAGGCTCCTACATATCTGCTTATCTCCCCTCTTTGGTTTCATTCTCTGTCTGAGGACATTTCTCTCTCAGCTTTTCCATGTACGTTACACAGGTCATTGCTTCAGAACAGCAGCCTCAGGTCCCCCACTTGCATGTCTTTGAAGTAGTCTGGAACCTGCCTCTACTTCACTGCTTTTGAGATACCCCTTTCTGCAGCCCTAGGGGAGAAGGCACTCGATGGACTCTCCCAAGTGGCTTCATCTTTGGTTCCCAGCCCTTTCTGTATTGCAGGGTGGAGGCAGGCAGATCCTAAGAGCTTGCTAGCCAGCTAGCCTCACAAAAATGATGAGTTTCTGGTTCAGTGAGATGCTTTCTTTTGAAGACATCTAGGGTAATGAATGATGGAGGAAGATACCTGCTATCCTGTTCTGGCCTCAGTGTGTGTATGGGTCTATTCACCCACACACTCAGTGCATACCACACCTCCATGCCCCCACCCATCCCACACATATATACACATACAACATATATATCCCTACATATACACACCACACACACCATACTCATACACACATCACACATACATATATACGCCATATACTCATATACACATACATATAGACACGAGTACATACTCCTCACATATACATCCATACATACACATTAGTACACCACACACATATTACACATCCTCACACCACACATCCATATACATACCACACATGATACATATACATGCAAATACCCTTCTCACACGACACACGCACATTCATAAAAGGATTCAATCCATGTATCTATCTGCTCTATTATCCATGCATCTTTCTGATGTAATGGATCATTTCCTAAATACCTTTATAAGCCAGATTTCCAAATATTACTACTGATGGAAGAGTCCAGTTGTCTTAGCAATGATTGTCACCAGCCTATCCAGTGTGCACACTTAGGCTTGGATTCAGGATGCACCATGAAGTGCACAAGCCTGGAGATGGATATAGATCACTGTCTAGGCCTCTGTAACTTCAGGCATGATTCATGGACCATGACCATCAGCATCCCATGGGTGCTGGTTAGAGATGTAGCTTGCTAGCTCTACCCCTAGAGTCAGAATCTCTGTATTCCCATGCCTGGCAACACTAATGCATGGAGCAGTTTGAGAAGTGTACTCTTGGTAGAAGCAGTAGTTTTGCTTTATTTTTTTAAGGCTCATGCATGCCTAATTGTTTTCTTCTTGAGATGATATTTTAGCAGTCTTATTGCATATAGTAAGCTTGTCACTAAGTTCATATATAGGCTGTTCACATTCCCAGAAGCTCTTGAGAGTAATGCAAAATGTCCTTCTTCTGTATTCCCACCACATCTTAAAAAACTTAATTTAAATTTTCATGGTGTGTATGAGTGTGTATGTGTTATGTATATTCCTGTAGGCATGCACAGAGAAGCCAGAAAAGGATGCCAATTATTTCTCTCTACCACTCTTGACCTTATTCTTTGAGACAGGGTTTCCCACTGGTCCTGAAACTGCACTTCAGGTAGACTGGCTAGCCAACAAGCTCTCAGGATCTTCCTGTGTCTTATCCCCCTGACATTGAGCTTACCAGTGTGTGGGGTCATGCCTGGCTTCTGCATAGATGCTGGAGATTTGAACTCAGGTCCTCTTGCTTGCTCTGTAAGCACTTACACTCACTGAGCCATCTTGCCAGTCCCCAAATTAATTTTTATCTATCTTGGAAAGATGTGGTTAGTTTCATGCAGTTTGTGTTTGCCCACAGACAACATCCCTTGAACAAGCCATTAAACATGCTCATGAGTGCTATGATGATGAGATACAGCTTTACAACGAGCAGATCGAAAGCCTACGGAAGGAGATAGAGGAGGCTGAGCGGTCTCTGGAGAGGTCGTCCTATGACTGCAGGCAGCTGGCTGTGGCACAGCAGACCCTGAGGAATGAGCTAGACCGGTATCATCGGGTCATTGAGATCGAAGGTAACAGGTATGGTCATGTATTTGTATGCCTGTCTACATCCATCTCCATTCTACAAATCTTTGTTGAGTGCCCACTACATGCTGGGTACAGTTGGAAGGACTGGTGATGTGTTGGGTAAGGAAACTCAACCACCCCCGACTTGAAGACAGGTGACTCTGTAACAGAGGGAGTATGGCAGAACACTGGAGGAGATTTGGGCAGAGAGAATTGGAGGGGTGGTGGGGGACAGTTGCAGACATGCCTGCTATTTTAGGAAGGCCGGTGCCCCCTGGGAAGTGATGGTCTAGCAGGTGAGATCATGGGTTTGTGCCTCCTCTGCTGCATGGCACTGAGGAGTGGCTAGAGATGCTGCTATTGCTGATAATGCTACCCTTGTGATTACAATGTGGACGATCAGTGCAGGACTCCTCCGTAAGAGAACTGTGATAAGTCCATTAACCCTGCTCTCGGCTGGACATTTCCTCTCTCTCTACCTAGGCTGTGTGGGCAGCTGTCTATAGATAAGCCTCAGAGAATAGGCCAGGCTTGGAGTTGTGGCTCTTCAGCATCAGTCTTCCCGCGCCTTTGGATTTAGGTTGAAGGAGACTCGAAGTCCTTTTCCAAGGACCTCACAGCAGAGTTCCTCCTGCTCCCCGTTCTCTAGTTTGGCTGTATGTGCCTGGCACAGACGCTTGGAAGGAAAGGAAAGCTTTTGTTTGTTTCTCTCTCTGACAAGAGCCACGTGTACTGGGGGCAGCTCCATGTTAAACTTCTGTGTTGTGGACACTTATCACACCTGTGAAAAGAACTTGAGAGCTGCGCTTAGTGTCCTTATGAGTTTTTGTGTTAGGGAAAAGGCATCCCAAAAAGTTAATGGTGTACTCCTTTGGTTGGCTTGTTAGTTCCAATTCTGGAGTAGATTAAAAAAAGATAAAAATGTTACAGAATGGAATAAGCAATTACTGAGCAGTCTACCTAGATCCGTAATTTCTTACATATTCCTCAATGTCTTTAAACAGTTTTTTATTTTGCACATTACATATTATTTAAAATGTTTGTATTATTTATACTAGCTATTATTTTATGTCCTATATCCTATATATCATATGTATGTATATTATATTTGTATATATATGTGATACAGTATCCTAAAAATATATGTACCCTGTAATATTGTACATCCTATATAGAATATCTTGTTTGTCCGAAATATCTCAGCCTGGATTGGCTCTTCCGTAATTGGAAAATGAAAGCCACAGAGTCCATCTGATGAAGAAATGATGCTTAGATTCTAAGTAGTCACTGTACAGTGCCCTTGGCCTTTTCATAGTGTATGACTTGAGCTCAAAGACGTGAGGGCTTCCTCAGTGTCCTTGCCCAGTTGGTAAATGTCTATGCGGTTAACAGTTTGTGGTGTGCAATTTATGCACACTTCATCTAGAGAAACTTTTTTTTGCTCAAGATGTGAGCTCAATCTTGTTCCTCACTTGTTTGTTTTGACAACTTAAAGATGGTGCTACATTCTTTCTGGTTCTCCTGCCAGGTTGAGCTCTGCTTTCCTTGAGACCCCCATCTCTCTGATCACCCCAAGCCATGGGGCCTCTCTCAGCCTTGGATCCAGTGTGAAAGGTAATGTGCCTCATGCCTGGCCCCTGCCTTCCAACCCTGGCTTCCTCTGCTTTTGTCTTATGTCTAGGCAATTTCATCCTGCTTGCCATCCGTGCTCCTTTCCAACCCATCTGGGAATTCCATGTGCACATGTGTGTGTGTGCAGGTGCACATGGCTGTGCATGTGTATAGGTCCTTAAGTGACACTCTGTTTTGTTTTGCTTTGCTTTGTTTTTGTGATAGAGTCTCACTATATAGCTCTGGCTGGCCTGGAACTTGCAATGTAGACCAGGTTGGCTTCAAACTCTGTGGAGATCTGCCCACCTCTTATTTCTGAGTGCTGAAATCAAAGGCACACACCACCTTTATTTATTTGGACATTGTCTTTTATTTCCCTGAAACTTGCCTACCAAACCATCTGTCCACCCCTCATCCTCCTGCCTCTGTCTCCTATCACTGGATCATACCACCACACCTCTTTTTTCCTCCTTTCATGGGTTCTGGAAATTGAACTCAGGTCCTCATGTATGTGCAGAAATCGCTTTTATATGAGAGAGATGCCTTCTCTGTCTCCTTGATCTGTTCCCTTGAATAGAATACGTAACTGAGTCAAGAAATTATAAAGAGAAAAGTTTGTGGGGGATAGCTCACCCAGGAATGCCAGCCTTAGTATGAGACATTTAATGCAGAAGAAATACAGATACATATCCATTACTGAATTTGATAGCATTGATTCTTTCAGTTCCAAATGAAGGGAATGACAATCAAGGGGTCATCACAGTTAGGTTGGGATACTGTAGATAGATGATGTCTCCAAACCTGAAGCCACCTGAACCTGACATAGGCCCATCAGCCTTGCCATGTGCTTCCTTTGAGAGAGTTAGAGAGATGGCTGTGTGGAGTGAGTTCCCATTGTATCCTCTGGATCCAGGTGCTGTGAGAACAGTAGGGGGATGGAACCGAGACTGGAGTTGTCCCTGCTTGGTGTCATGGTCCAGTATTGCGTGTCTCTCTGTCTTACTCCAGTAGAGGGTGAACTGTGAGTGCCAGGAAAAGGGGCACTTTTCCTTCCCTTTGGGGAATCCAGAGCGATCATATGACTCATGTAAAGTTTCCCAACTGGTTGAGCTGAGACCTCAACATGGATGAGAGATCTGTGGCTCTTTCCCCTATTGCTGGACACTTACCATCAGCACAGTTGTCATGGTTTTCAGTGAATGTCATCATTCCCTCTCATTGACACATTGTTGGCTTACTGCCTGTGTGTTTTTCCTTAGATATCACCAGGGCTGTGCAGGATATCACAGGAGCCAAACCAAGACAAAAGGCCTTCCCCAAGAGCCTTCCAAAAAGAAAGGAGATTATAGCTCAAGACAAAGTGGATGAAACACTGGAAGGTGCACAATTAAAAACCCTGCAAGAGCCAAACCCAGTGCAGGGGGAACTTAAAGTGGACAGTGATTCTCATCTGGGGCCCGGGGGTGGACATGAAGTAAGTCCAGTACTAGAAGGGGGTCCTGAGGATATGCCAGATGGAGGCCAGATAAGCAAAGCCTTTGGGAAGCTATGTAAAGTAGTCAAAGAGAGAATAAGTGGCCCCAAAGAGCCTGTGCCAGAACCACCCGCTGACCTCTTCACCAAAGGACGGCATATACTGGTCACAGGGGATGCCAGTTTTGTGGACCCTGAGTTCTACTCCTCCTCCATCCCAGCTAGGGGTGGGGTGGTGGTTTCCATTGAGGAAGACTCTATGCATCATGATGGCCACGTGGAACCCTCACCCGGGCAGCCCATACTACCTGTGAAGAATGGAAAGGGGGCTCCCCAGGGCAGGGAAGGTGACCACTCAAGCCATCAGCAGGTTAAAGATAAGAATGGGATCGGGGCCAAGGAACCAAAAGACCTGGAAAAAAAAGATGATGATGGCCAAAAGGAAGATGAGGGGCCCAGGAGACCCTGTCCTGTGATCATACCTGGTCCTGATGGACCACCTACATCCCGTTCACAAACGTCTGGGTCCAATCAAGATGGATCAGAGGGGCCTGGGAATAAGAGCAGTAGCCTGCTGGCAAAAAGCCCTTCTAAGGCTTTAGCTTTTAAGAAGGTAGAGGTGGTGGAATCCATTGAGAAGATTTCAACAGAGAGTATTCAGACATATGAAGAAACTTCTGTCATTGTGGAGACTGTTGTTGGGAAGCCAAAGGCCAACAAGAAACCGGGAGAGAAGGGCTCTTAAAATGCCAGGGCTTGAAGGAAGAAAATATCTGGGGCCAGTGTAGGTGAAGTGCCTTGAGATGGTTCCTGTTTGGATTAGATCATAGTTGACCTGTCTGGCATTGCCAGTGACCTTCATTAAAATGCTTTTTTTTTTGCTTGCACCATATTCCTTGTCTAATTAATAGGGCCTTGGGTCAGCCATACTGAGAACAAAGATGCTCTCTTAATGGCCACCACTCTTCCTTCTTTTAGGAAGGGACATGCTCTTTAGCATGCTTCATTATTTGTTTGTTTTTGGGACAGGGTCTATGCAGCACAGGTGTCCCTGAGCTTTTGATCCTTCTGCCTCAGCCTAAGTGTGGGGATTAGAGGCATGGGCCACCATACTGGAATCAGCATGCTGCATATAGATTCATTAACAGAAAAAAAGTAGTTGGTGGCAATGGCTCATTCATTCCATTCAAAGCACAAGTGTATGTTCATGTGACTGAGGGTTTTGTTAGACATGAATTGATGAGAAATTATAAGTTTGGGGTCCCTTAAAAGCTGGCCCTGAAGTAAGTGTGTGTGTGTGTGTGTGTGTGTTACTAAGTACATGAGCATGTGTGTGAGTGTTCATGTGTGCTTGGGTATGTGTGTGTATGTATGTATGTATGTATGTATGCATGTAGTATGCATGTGAGGACTAGAGGACAATGTTGTTGTTGTTCAGGTGCTGTCTACCTTGTCTTTAGACAAGGCCTCTCGGTATTAGAGTTTACCAATCAGGCTAACCTGGTTGGGCAGCAAGCTCCAGGATTCCACCTGTCCCTGCGTCCCCAGCATGCCTGGCTTTCTATCAGTCTCTGGGTGATTGAAGTGATGCTTGAGCTTGTGTAACCGAGTCATCCTTGAAGCCCTCACTCACCACACAAACATTTGAACGTGGAAAGTTTCTTTGTAATATGACCTCAGGAGGAGCCAGGTGGGAAGTAGAAAGGGAGTCATGAAACCAAGACTGCCAAGGGGCAGGGTGCTGTTTCCAGGCAGAGCAAGCAGAGCTGAATTTCACTGAGCAAGTTTGGGGACAAGAATAGAGCACTAGTGGTATCGACTTGCCACCTGCTGTCAGTCAGTGGGAGGTGGCTGCTCCAAGTGTTAACTTTGGAGGCCAAGGATGTCCTCAGGAAAGGAAGTGCATGTGGCTTTTGGAATTCAGTCACAGACATACATGGAAATGTCAGAAATAAAGAGGGTATAGGCAGAGCAATGAAGCCGTGTGCCTCTGTATATGCACCAAGTGTTCTTTTGTGTAAGATGCTTACAGCTTTTTCACCCAGGAAGTACAACTTTTAGTCATGTTTCCAAAGTAAACTTGCATGCTACTTTGTAAATGCTGGTTTAGTGAAGACCAAGGGGGAGTTATGTAAGCCCAAGGACCTGAGTTCAGATCCACGCACCATGTATGAGGTTGGAAACAGTGTTGCACTCCTGTAATCCCAGTGCTGGGAAGGAGTGTGGGGATGGATGCAGCCTGAGTTCTGGGGCTCACTGGCCAGTCAGTCTAGCCAGGTGGTGAGCTCCAGATCCAGTGAGAGACCCTGTCTCCAGATAGTGTAGAACAGAGACTGAAGAGGTCACCTGCTTTCTCCTCTACCACCGTGCATGCAAGTACACCGACACAAATGTATACAAACACTCATACATACATGTTAGAAGCTAGGGACGTAGTCCAACAGGCACTTATTGAGCGAATACTACAGATTTGTTATGATTTTCAAGTAAGAGCATAGCCCTGCTACATTTGAGAATGCAAGGTCTTTTGTACATAGATACACACACACCACATATACACACCCCTACACCCCACACCCAAACATACCCACCACACATATATACCATACACACACATACACCACACACACACATACACATACCACACATACTTACACACACACACACACACACACACACACACACACACACACCCTTGCTATGCTAAATTCTATAAAATAGCAATTATACAAATCATGGAAGTTTATGAAAAGTGTATGCATGTGATGTGGCTGGGCGTTGAACCCAGGACCCTATACCTGGCTAACTATACCCTAAGCTGCCTGTATATATCTAGTATTCCATTAACAATCTAGAAATAGGTTTTAACTTAAAATGATTAAAAAGTTGTTTCCTAACATGGATGCTCCAAAATACACGAGGGACCGAGTAAATGTGCTGAAGCGGATTGTTGTGTTGGCCTCAGAAGGGGAAACAAGCGCCCGGGAAGACAGCCGCACACTGTGTGAGGAAAGTGCCAGGGTCACCGATGCCATTGTGGCACTGCTTTGTTAGGAACAACACAAGACGAAAGTGTTGCCTTTCATCCTGAGGTAGAGCCTTAAACAGTCTTGTTCCAAATTCATTTGAGGCTTTGGTTTCAAGAAAGAAATATGCTTTTGTTGTTCTTTCTGAAAGATGAATGGAGAAGCCAGCCCATTCTGCATTTGAAATATTTATAACATAAAAGCGTAAGAGAGAATGATGTGAGCCACTGGCTGGACCCTGGGATGCAGAACCGTGGGCCCATGTGTCTATTATATAAGACGTTAACAGCCACCGAAAGCCTTTCTTTTCCCCACTAAGCTTTTTTTTATTGTCCAGGCTGTGTTCAGTGATGATTCTTATACAAAAAGGCAGGGGGTACCATTTTGAATTGAAAGGACATTTTTATATTATATTTAATCAGCCAGGAAAAGTAGCCTGGGAGTCTGTCCTGACAGGCTTTGTAAAGATTGTAGGGAGGGACTAGATGTGGCCCTGCTCCCCAACCCTGTTGTTCTAGTGTAGGAAGAAGAGGATGCAGAAGCAGACAGATAGTACGTGGGAAAATCAGTACGTGCAATGAGGGAAGTCAATAGGCAGGAAATGGTGCTCATCTGGCCTCTGCCTCCCACACTGACCTCTTCTCCTTCTATCATATCCCTCTCCCAACAGGCCAAGGTCATTCCCATCCCAGAGTCTTTGCATTTAAAATTCTCTGTGCCTGGAACGCTCTTCCCTCAGATCTGCACAGGATGCCCCATTTTATCATTCAAATCCCGGGGCTTTCCTGAGGGAGAACTGAAGCTCCTACCCTAACTCAGATGACCAGTTGTCATGGCCATAGCTATATGTGTGTAGATCCACCAGAGTTGGCTCCAGCTTCATCCTGCTCAGGCATAGGTTACCATCTTTAAGGTCCTTGTGTATGTGCTTACACTCACTATTTCCTGGCACCACAGATGAGACAGGCCCAGGTATCCCCTTAGAGGCTGGATGGCTGAGGATCCCACATATTTCACAGATCTTGAGCCATATGCTACTCAATGTTCTCTTTTGTCTTTTGAGTCAATTAGCAATTCTTTCACCCGGTTTGCGGTACTATATTATTAAATTCTCTCTGTTAAATTGACTGTTCTTGTTTCTGTCTCCTGGCTGGTGGAGGAATAGGACATGTGATAGGGAAGGAATGTGTGGAACAGGATGCATTGATGGGTAAGCTGTCCCTGCGGACAAGTTGACTCCGTCCTGTTGGGGACCTCTTAAGAGACTGGCTAGAAAATCTTTAAGTTGTCCCAACAAGAGGCGAGGAAGGCGAGATAGCACACCACCTGTTCTCTCTCCTCTAGTTAAGGCACTGACACTTTGCTCCTCTGGCCTGCTCCACGTGGGCCTGCTACATCTCTGAAGTGGGTGATTACTGCAGATAGAACAAATGGCTTTTGGTATTTATGAAAATTATACAAGTGTCTTTCTCATGGGCCAAGGAGATACATGGAAGGGGCTGGCTGCTTTCTTCTCTAAAGGGCTGGGGAGATGGCTTAGTCAGTAAAGTATTTGCTGCCCAAGCATGAGGACCTGAGGACTATAGCACCTGCTTAAAAAATCCAGATATGGTGGGACATACCTGTAATCCTAGAGCTGGGGAGGTGGACACAGGAGGATTGCTCGGACTTGTTGACCAGCCAGTTGAGCTCCATGTTCAAGTGAGAGATCATGTCCAAAAATCAAGGTGGAGAGTAATTGACAAAGTTGCCTGCCATTGATCTCTGACCTCCAAACATACATGTGCATCCATGAATATGAACACACACACACACACACACACACACACACACACACACACACAATAAATAAGGATCACATAGTGTCTTCTGTTATAATTACTCAACCCTGTTGTAGTAACACAGCACAGACAAAACAAAGACAAGCAGGCATGTGTTTCCAGCAAGGCTGTGCTTACAAACACAGGCAGTGCCAGGATTTGGTCCATGGCTGTAGCTCGCTGCTTTCCTGACATCAGGAACGCCCCTATAGGGCCTGCCACCACTTAAAACACCAGAAGGTGATTCTGACCTGCATCCCTACCTTCATGTTGCCTCCTTGACTTGAAGCTTATGTGGAAGTGTTGGGAGACATTGATGACTGGTCAGGGTTTGCAGTACTTCAGTCTCTGGCAGCTTATCTCAAGAGCTTGTCAAAATGGAACTCCCTCTCTCCAGCAAAGTTTCCTGCTCTCTACCTGGAGAATGTCCCTGGGCCTGGAGGACTGACCTTATCTAAAAGCTGTCTCTAAAACCAGATGCATGATTGTCTTTAGCTTGACCTTTGGCACAGATCCCTGCTAAGAAGGCTTGTGCTAGGAGCTCTGCTATAGGATCCTGCTGCCTTGTGATAGGTGTGTGCGACTTAATGCAAATTGGGGTTTGTCCCCAGGCTCCCTAATCCTATATATTCCTTATGCTCTGGAATAAAATCAGGTGATTAACTGAAGTCTGTCTCCTGGAGTGCTGTCTTCATTCATGCTCACGGGCCACCAAAGCTTTCTGTCACCTCATCTGCCTCTTTCCCCTCTTAGCTGGCCACCAGGAAAGAAGACCCCTATAGGGGAAGATCTTGAAGTAACCATTAAAATCATGTTTATCCTAAAAAATTTTCTGCCACAGATTTGTGGTTGGGGCATATTGGTGAATGAACTGACCTCTATTTAGTACACTAATGACAAAGAGCCTCACCAGGCACAAATGCCTCCATTTTCTCAGGTTTGGACACTAGCAAATAAATGCCACAAAAATGACACTGATGCTTTAAAAAAGAGAGGGAGATAGAGAGAAAGTAACAGGACTTTTGAGTTGGCAATCATCCCTGG